AGATTGAGTCGAGCATGTGAATAATATTATAAAGCTGCAGAGTCTGTTTGTTTGAAGGCGGTAGTCTCAGGAACTACTCGTTCGAATTGAAAAATGTTCATGTCCTTGTTAGAGCATTTATCGAGGAAGGATTTAAGCTATAATACATCACGCTGCAACTAAAAGGAACGAAACAGAGAATTTGGTAAGAACGGCGAAAATTATACATCTATAAGGGTTTAATATATATTAAATTCTGCATTCGTGTATGTCTGTCTTTTAAGTAAGATTAACTCACAAGAACCTTTTTTATACTAAATGTTGGTCAATAAAGAAGTAAAATTGCTTAGAATGTTCAACGTTTGAGATATTATGAGATTTTTTGCTAACTATTATCTGTCAGTAACTAATCTTTATAAGCAACGAATACGAAAAAATCTGAATTTAATTAATTGGAATCATAAAATTTGAAACAAAGAGTTCTCTTAAGCTTGATATTCTTGAACATATTTCAACAAAGAGGAGCTATAATGAAATAAAATGTAAGTGGAAAGCGAAGGGGTGGGGAGAGGAGAGCGGGGATATCTAATGCGTTTACACTGGCCTGTCCGGTCGAGGATGCTCGCATCAATCAAAAACCATGAAATCTGCCGAAAGAATTTGTTACTTGATGGAAGTTAATTTATCATCAAGTTAAAAAATGAGCGATATCATTCAAGTCTCTGTACCAAATAATGTGTTATGTATTTTTGGACTTTCATATATATGTATATAAATATATATTTATATCAGTCACAGAATGATGTATTGCAGGTATATAAGTTTGGGCTGTAAGTTACGCGAGTAATGCAAAATAAAAATGACACTTTTAACGGTTTAAAACTACTAAGTCACAGCTAGACTCCTGCTGCCCCAAAGCATCTGAAACGTGGAGTCGTGTTTGTAAGTAAGTTAACTAGTATAAAATGAACGAAAACATTTATTATTTGCTACATAATTTAAATAGTTATGGCGATGATGCCGTTTAAATTGTTTCATTTAAATACTTTAATAATTTCACATTATATAAATTAAAAATTGATTTTAGTTTGAAAAAGATACGAATCTGGCAGGACTTGAACCGACATCCATAGCTTTCTGTGCTGTTGCTCTAACCAATTGAGCTACCATGTCCTACACGATTTCTTACTGGATATACTTCTCAATAACGATATTATATTTTGCATATTTTAAATCTAATCTCCTCACCCATTAACATATTATCATCAAAGCACGCAAGAATACTCTGTGGAAAAATTCAATTTCACACTTGAATTCCTTTAAAAGGTCCAATCTCTTGAGTAATTCGTTAGAGCCTCTGGTATGCCGCATAGGGCTGTCACGTTTTTTGGTATTGTAGATAAATTCCACTTAAGAGAAGTGTACAACCAGTGCCCTTGCAGAATAACAACCACACTACCACTCAAATTCTAGACAAGTTACCTGATTATGTTTATATATTTTTTTTAATAGAGAAGGACAGAAAGCAGAAGCACCCCAGCCGATCACATCTAAACGAGAGGCGCTATCGACCTTATTTGGCTTTAAATATTCGGAAAAGACTGGAACCAAAACGATACGCATCGAAACTTGACGGCTTTTCGCCTTTATAGTTTTTTTTTATATTTTGTCAACCCTATTCGTTCGCGACATAAACCGCAGTTCTAGGTATAATCAACTGCCGTTATTCACAGTTTTGCGAGGCCGCGTCGTAATGATTTAATTCGAAATTAAATTTCACTCGAATTACTAGCATTAGATTAATCATAGCCTAGAAGTATCGATTTAAAATAACTAGAAAAGAAATTGTTCATAAGCATGGGATTTAAAAGAATAGAATATAAATATTAACGGGCCGTGGGTTCGATTCACACTGAGTTCCTACTTGTTTCTAATCAATTTATAGTTTTTCTGAAACACATTGGACATCGTCTGAAAGGCTGGATATTAAATTGGTGGTAGGAAATTCCGTTCGAGTCACGAATCTCTTGCTTTTCTGTCCTCCTCTAGCATAAAAATACCAACCCACTGCCCGTTGGTCATGGCCATACCCCTTCAATATGCCCGTCCTTTATCTGAAAGGTATTATTTTTATTATAATTAGAACGGGCACTCTTAATATTCAGCACTCAACTAGACAATGATTTTACTATTGTACTAAGTAGTAACATTATTTAAAAAAAGCAAGCATAAGCGATTACTTTAATAGTCAAGCTATTTTTCTCCTCTGTCTTTGAAATACAAAGGTGGTCAAGAACGTAGGTTATTTTAAAAGAAACTAACCTATTTCGAAGAAACATTTGCGAATACTATTAGACCAAGAGAGACCAAGCACTTGATACTGAAATGCTTCAATAAAAAATCCTTAACAAGTAACAGTAACGAGCTATAGCTTGAACTCTGGAAAATTACGACGCCGTCAGCAATTTTCTGAGCTAATAAAAATTAAAATGAGATTAAGATCTTTCGGACTTTCACTCGCTAATTAATTACTGGATTGGCTGTTTATCGCTTTTCTATCTTCGTTCAGTTTTCACTCAATAGCTCAAACACTATTAACAAAATATAGCTTCTATTGGTGAAGTTATTTATATATTCAACTAAAAATTTAGAGTGAGTTTTTATATACTTTTAAACTTATATTTATTGAAAGACAAATAATAATATGTAGCATATTTTTTAAAGATTCAAAACGAGAAATATTACTTAACTTATTTTTAATTAGTTTTTTCATACTAGACAACTCGTACGGTATGTAGTTTACGCGATTAGTACTCATTTAAATAAAAAAAAAAATACGATTTGAAACGCAAAATATATTAATTTTAACTTTACAGTACTATTCATTTTAACTACGGCCCGACGCTTCGGATGCTTTGCAACAAACGTGGTCCCGGAGGTGAAATCTGCTACGGTAGCGCCATCTATTTCGTCGTAGATGATATTACAGGAAACTGGCTGGGTTCTTACAGAACTGACTCACTCGTAGTCCTTTTTTTACCAATATGCTGTTTTTTGGGTTTTGTTTTTAATATGGGGTTTCAGGTGTTTGAAGTTTCAGTTCAAAGTGTTTTATATAAATAGTCAACTCCTTTAATTAAAGTGTACCAAATTTTCATATTAAATATTTTCGTCTTTGACAGGGCAAACTCTCTAGAAACAAATTGTATTATCTACTAAGATATAATATGCTACGCTGGTAATAATTTAAATATAGCGACGACGTGCTATTTATATGAAGCTTATCAGATTACACGACATCGTTGGAAATAAGGTACACTACGTAAAATGATCCACCAAGGTAATGGGCTGTCAGACGCAGAATATCCACCTGAGGTTATTACGGTAAATAATATTTTTTAAGACAATTATTAATATGTTATATTCATTCTTCTCAACTATCACTTAGACTTGATTTATACAAAAGTGAAGTTTGATTCTTTCTTTTTTTATGCGTTTACTTTACTCACAAAAAAAAACAAAAAATACTCGCAAGGAGTCTTTGTTAGTGAAATACTTCATATGGCAAAAAATCATTTGTAATGGTCTACTAGTTAAGATATATTAGTGATAAATTATATTTTAACATTTTTTTTTTCATTTTTGTACTCATGTTTTTTTTTTTGTCAAAATATATGTACACATATATAGTTGTTATAGAATCCATATTGAATCAATTGTGCTGTTTGGTTAGAGTCAAAGAAATACATTAATTTAAGTTTGAAATGGGAAGACATATTTTTATAAAAATATACGCTAAGCGCTAGAGATCCTGGGTTCGAATCCGGTCTGGACAGAATTCTGAGCTACTGACTGTTTGTAGATTAAATCATTGTAACAGAAAGTGATATATGTTTGCCCCATGCCCCACAACAGGATTTCACATCTTAAGAAGTGATGAGGTAGTAATACAATTTGTTATAGAGGGCGTCAATTTTATAGATAATAGAGCGAATGCAGGCGGTAACGAGACGCCTGTACTGTGAACAACGGGGTAAGCACTGTCCAGTTTACCCTGCCGTCCACTGAGTTGCTGTTTCATTACACATTACACGCGCTAGGGCTGCTAAAATATGTGAAGGCCAGTAAGAAAGAAGAATGTTCAAAAATATCGAATCCTTAATGCTATAGACGAGGCTATAGTTGCCACCTAGGTGAATTCATAACAATAGTATTTCAACTATTTTATTTATTTGTAATATGTAGATATTAATATTTCAAGGTATATATTTATTTATCGTATGAGTAGACAGTCTCTTAAAAAATAATGATGATATAAGAAATAAACCATAAAGAAGAAAATAAACTTCGGCAAAACTTTCGCTCACGCGGGCATGGGCGTCATTGTGCAACAAGGTGTTTATTTCCTCCTTTTTTAGAGATTATCATGCTTTACTACTTATTTATTTGGAGAATAATGTATCAACCCATCCATGGTCTACAATGATCTGGAGACTATAGCGCTCAGCCAAAGTTACTAGCCACTAAAACTACCTGCCATAACGTATCGGATGAAACAGTTCTAGAATAGTGCCAAACAGTTGCCTACTTATTATTAATTCCGAACGAAAAACAAGAGATTTTTAATAGGGAAATCTGCCACACTACGTAATATTTATTTTATTATCTCGCATGTAGTGTATTGAAGAACTCTCAATTACAACATTAGACACAATTAAATGAAATCTTTCGACTTACAATAGTATTGGAAATGATACAATATTTACTACAAAAAGCACTTAGCAAAAACTGACAGTCACTCGCATTTGTCAGTTCTATTTTACTTACAAACTAATTACAGCTAGTTTTTCCTTGCACAAAATATTAATCTTATATAGAATACTAGAGAGTGCAACGACCAAACAAGATCTAATTCGTAATGGAATTTGCTTTAAAAGCAGTCTCGCAATTTGCAGCCCTAACACCGGGTTGTTAGACAATTCCGTTCCCATTGTGTCTGGACCCAGCGAGCGGTGACATCTCTACACAGCTATACAAGTAGATGCGTCCTCTCCGAATTCAACAACGTCAATTCTATCTGTGATTTTCGAAATAATTATTACCAATACGAAAAGAGAGATATACCACAGTTCTGTTACTACATTGAAGTTACGTATTGTCTGTAGTTTATGGGAGTAGTATTGGATTATAACGCGAAATATGTTAGATTATCTGTTTAAAATTTATTTTAACTACCACGTGACCACAACTTTTGCAAAGCATTCTATACGTATACATTAAAAATCGATTATAAATTGAAAAAAATTACGACACGGGCAGGACTTAAACCTGCATTATCGTACCTTGCTGTTGTTTTAACCAATTGAGATACAGTGCCATCAAGTACAATAATAACATATGAAAAATATTTATGTTTTCAAATGCGTACAATAAAATGTAACCTTTAAAGTGTTAATAGTACATTATGATATAAGTGCGGTAAGTTGAAAATTACAGCCGAGGCGATATTACTAGCTATAAGAAAGCAGAGGCTGTAATTTTCAAAGCGCACGTATGTCATACGGCGTTTTATAACATATTTACGAGGAAATTAATAAAACTTCCTCGTAAAAATAATAGTAGAGTTAAGTCTCTCTTACTCTCTTGAGTGAAAGTAGGAGAAACGAGATGCAGTCGTCGGTGGCGGCGGCGGAGGCGGTTGCGGCTGGGGCGACGATGGTGGAAAGTACGCCTGTGTGCTCGTGCCAAATGTATGTTCCTTGTGTTGAGAGAGCTAATTTCTTCTTTATTTCTCAACGAGTCATCTATGTATCCCTCGGCTACACTGCTCGACCGCCACCCTCCGTGGCGTTTTAGTGTTAATAACTCCGCACCTGAATCGGCGAGCAATGTAGCCGAGGACCTTCTGAAACTGTGCCCTGTGTATTCATGAGCTTCAGGCAAATTTAAGAAAGTGGCAACTTCTTTCGGCATTGCTCTAAATTTATTAATGCCAATAGGTTGCTTAGTGCATTTTCCATTTTGGTTATTTTGAAAATCTGTTGGAATTAGCTTTATTGTCAAAATAAATTAAATTAAAGAATTAAATGTTTATTTGTTATATTTTATTTCCCAAAGTAAATTTTATTCATAAAATATTGACCACTTTCTTGACATAAAACCTCTTTGCTAAGAAAAAGAACACGTGCCTTTTACATTACATTATCGCACAAGTACATAATGAGATACGTTACGATATTGAAATTGGTGTAATTACAACCACTTCACGAGCAAATGTAAAAAACATAAAGTAATTTATTGAAATATATTGAGATTATATAAATAAATACCTATGTAATTATGTCTCACGTGCAAATATTTCATTTAGCAAGCGGTATTCGAAACAGACAAGGAGGAAATCAGGCTAGTTGAATTGAAATCCTAACGAAGCATAAATTCAACACTTTTCAAACTTTCGCACTAAAGCAGTGCGATTGAATTCCGAACTTTGAAATTAAAATCTCGTTTATACTCTTAAAATAGCATTCGAAAATAAGCACGAATCGTTTCCGAAGAAATTTTTATAAAGTATGAGGATAATTGGAAAAGTTGCGAACAGTTGCGCTGCAAGTTGTCCCAGAAATCGCCGCGAGTCAGTGGTGACCGCGGCACCGATGCTGGTCCACTCCGACAGCGGAAGTGAATTAAGACTACAACTTTAAACCATCGGTTTATTTTGTAATTGGCTCGCTGCGACACTCGTTTGAAGCAGCCCTCGGAGGAAAAGCAAATTTGAACCGGTTCGGCTTATCAAGCCGAATGTTAGTACATACGTGATACGAGTATGGTAACGAAAATTAATTTAAGTTTTCACTTTTAATAATTTAAGTATAGATATAACAATGTAATCTATCTATAGATCTCCTAACTTATACATCAGATGCAAACATATTTGTTGAATAGAAAGAAACAAAGAAGTATAAAAAGACATTATAATGATCTCATATTTAATTTCAACCTTTATAACCTTAACGAAATCATTTCGACCTAATTTAAGACATTGAGTTCTTGAAATTCACTAACTAATTTTAAATATAAGCCTATAATTAACCAAAACAGCACACATTTTAGTAAAACACTTTTAACTGATTAAAATGGGTAATGTATTAGCTAAATTGTTTACAATTTATTTTATCTACGGCCCGACGTTTCGGATGCTTTGCTGCAGCCGTAATAGTAAAAAAATATAAATACAACCCAAACAAAGTTAACTAATACATGTCGCGTTTAAACCGTTAAAAGTGCTTTATTTAACAATTTAGGCAATCGGCAGACAATAAAGAAATGAACTGAGATTTTTATATGTAATATTTCTTCTTCTATACTAGATTATTAAATAATTGTAAACATGTAGGTACGAACTTAAATGTAAAATCGACTTTTAAAATGACACAAAACTCACTCGTTTAATTTATTTTTGCTATATTGTATGTCATATCAGAAGTCATTAATAATTTTAATATTCGGTTTGTACAATTTGCATCCCATTTGTTGCATGACCGTTCCATTAGCTCTTCAGTGAAAAATATTAAAATTAATTACAAAAAAATTTAAGTGTGGAAAAAATAAATTTTTAAAAATGTATTTGAAAACCTATGCAGGGTTAATCAACAGCTAGACTACATATAAAGTATATATAGTATAAGTATGTTACGGCACATGATGGCAATATTTAAAAAACTTACGACTCGGGCAGGACTTGAACCGGCATTCACAGTGTTACGTGCTGCTGTTTTAAACTTATTAATACATGCACCTTTCGAAAAAAATGTTTTAATGTATAATCGTATTTTATTTAATATAGTGCCATCATATACAATAACATGTGAAAATGATTAAAGTTTTCAAAGGTTATATGTATTTGTCTACACTTTTCAGCTGTTGAGAAATTTGAAGCAAGGCACTCAGTTCGATTCTGGCCAATTGCAATTTGTAAACAATGATTACTACATTTCGTCTTTCATCTTATTAGCCAAAAGTAAATACTCTATACCGATATCATTCTATTTTAAACAAATTTTGATTAAGCACGCAAATCCCCTTGCGTTAGTTATTCAGCATGAGAAATTACATCGAGAATGTTTACACAAAGTGGGAGCCGCCTATTCACTCTAATATACAGAGAACGTAACAACTTACACATGACAAAGAAATAATTAAATTCCCTATTTGTATCGTCCTCGGTGCTGTACACATACAAACAAACATACCCACCGAACTGCTTTATGTTAGGGCTGCCGTTTAGGTTTAATCTAGGGTTTTATTAGTTTATCACAAAAAAATATTTTTGGGGTATATGTAAAACTGTAGTAATTTCAGACTATATAGTTGTTTTACAATTTTTCTTGTGACAAATGAAATGTGTTAGACTTCGTCTGGAAATCTGGATATTAAAAAGTTTGTAGGAATGCCGAAATTCTATCCGGATCAAGACCCACCGTCCGCAGATGAAAAATCTAATGACGTTTCGTTTTCAATCCATATACTACCGAATATCTAAAATAGGTCAACAATGCACCTTGTTTAAATGTTATATGGGTATTTTATCTACCTTCAACTGAACCCCGTGGTTGTCTGTTCCCCTCTATCATAAAAAAATAATGGAGATTTTATCAATATTTCTTTATTCTTAAACCCTTTTTTTTAATTTTATTATAGACCACCATATAAATTCTTTAATTTTAAGCATTGCGTTACGCTTAAGAGCTCCCTGGTTCAAACGAGGAAACAATAAAATGTTTCGGCCCTGCACAGAAGTATCATCAACTGTAAATAAAACTGACACAGAAATGTGTACGTTCTATACCTCAAAGAGGTAAATCGGATTTCAGCTTAAAACCTAAGACATTCATAAGTATATTTTTAATCTATTTAATTCTTACTTTTTTATTTGTAACATTGAAATGCATTAACAGTGCATGTGCTGCAACCCTAGCGAAAGTCAACATCGTATTGTCTGAATCTTTAATTACGGACCACAAACAGAGTGATTAAAGAGGTAGAAAGCAATTAAGCTGCCTTGGAGGTTGTTATTATTGCTGACTCTCGGTACTGATCGGTAAGTTGCGCTAACAGTAATATGCAGTGCTGTGAGCTGCTGATAGAAGGCTGAAGTCAAAACCAAATCCTAGATGGCTGCATAGTGCAATTATTACAGAATCGCAAAGCAAATATTTTTAAAATTTTAATCATTAAGTTTTTCTACAAATTTACGAAAAGTTTGTTTGTTTGAAAAATCGAGGAAAAATTAAGGCTAGGTAACTTGGCGTTACAACAATTGGTGAGCGAAATAAATTTGATGCCCAAAATAACTATTTCACCCGGACAAAGTCGCAGGCTCAGCTAGCTGTAAACATAAAATAATTACCACAAAATTTATATGTAGCACCATATAATTTTGTGTTTATAATTTTCAGCTGGAACTGTAAAGCTAAACAAAATGGCCGCTGAATTAGTGTTCAAAATTAACTCCGTAAACAGTTTTTAAATGCAAAGCAACCCAATCTCAGTCAGAACATTCCAGTAAGAATTTACTCCCATTTTTCTATTTAAGTCACTGCAATTGATATTTAATGGCATAGTTATCTATTTTCACTGTTCTAAAGCTTCGCTTAGTTACTCAAAACAACTATGGCGAAAAGGAAGGTTATAGAACCAGATAGTAATTAATGAGAGTCCAAGGGCCAGTAAATATGTTTTGCATTTATTTAAGTCTCTTTCAATTACCGCAAGTTCTGCTATTTCTGAACTTATCACAAATCTACGAGCTCTGGATAACATTTCCTGGCAAACATTTTCAAAGTTATCTCCAACCCGGCAATATGCAAAATAAAAATGATCTGTAGATGTGCATAAAAATTCTCAACCAGTTTAAAATTGTTACAGTTCGGACTCCGTAAACTGTTGGGCGGCGCTCCGACTTTGCTTGTTATTATCAGTTCGCATCACACTTCAATAGACCTTAGTGCTATGAAAATAAAGTGCATTTTTGTGGAAAGAGTCGCTGAATATGCTTGTTAGAGTTGAACTTCTGCGGTGCGTTGTAAGTTGTAAAATAGTGACGTGGATTCGATGTAGAACATGGAACATATGAAATACTGTTTTTATAGTTTTGAGTTTTTTTTTCGATTTAAACCCAATTATGAGAAAGCGTAAGCAGAGAGTTTTAAACAAGATTCTTTATGCATAGACAATAGAACGTCAGATTCTGATAAGTGATAATTTTTAAATATAAACAATAAATTAAGATAAATTGGTCTTATATTCTTTTTAAAACTATATTAACTTCCAAAAACTGGTCTTAGTCCAAAAAGAGAAACAGTTTTATTGTATATTTTTCAATGTTAAAGGAGAACAGACAAGAATAAGGTTGGTGGTCTACTTGATGGTCAGTGAAACACTCCCGATATGTATATAAATTATCAATATGTATATAAATATAGATTTATATATATATTTTCTAATTTATCTTTTACGATATGGATTAATTCTCATTGAAGACAAGGAAATCCCTAACTCTTTACAAGAATATATCTTTATAAAATGCTCACGTAAAATTTGTTTCTAACTTTCAACTTTACTGCGAAATGTTTCTGCGCACCATTATCACGTACCTAACATAACTTCCAACCGCTAAATTCTACAACTATCTTATTATATAAAGATATATTATAGATCAGAGGTAATAATTTAAGATGGACTGAGACGTTATTTAAAAAAAAAATTCACTGAAGTTATGCGTGTGTTTGTTCTACATTCCATAGCCCCCTTTACAATAATAATCAATAAACACAATAACTCGTTAGATATTGTACAACATACAGAAATTACATAATTAGTTCCCGAACTATAGTATAGACTATTTGCTTGATATATTTATGAAAGCTTAATCTACGCGAATGTTGATTATATATTGAAACTTGAATATTGTGAAATAACAATTCCCCTGGACGAACACATTTCCCAGTCAGTTTTAGTGATCGGGATAGAACGGGATTCTGCACTTCGATCAAAATTATTATCTTTCGCTGGAATTCGAACCTAAGACTATCCGCGCTTACACTATCCTAGGAAACGCGTGTAGACATAGAGGAGAAATAAATAAGACGTTTAATATAAAATATGATAGTTATTTTTCTTTACCTTATATAGCTTGTGTTAGTACCGATTTTATGTACCCACCTACTTGATTGAATTGTGTTTGTCTGTACTTTTATGTATTGTCAATTTTTGTATTAGTGAGTTCATAATAATAACATTATTTTCTATATTTCTTAATCTTAAGTCAAGAGATTTCATAATTTATCTTAAGACGAAAGAAATTAGTAGCCAGCCGAGGTTACTTATTTAAATTGGAGAAGCGGGATACTTTATTTGCTCTAACTCGTGCCCGGGAAACAAATAAGGCTCTTCAGATAAGTCGGAGCTTATGTTAAATGGACAGTATAGTGTTTGCGATCGAGCGGCCACTTATAAAACATAGAGGAACCGTTCGCCCGGGTCTTAACCGGACCCGGGTAAGCCGGTAAGTGTGGCACGATGTTCGGATAAATCCCCATATTATTGTTATTGCGTCCCCGATAGCCAGGGCTCCGGCCAAATGAAAAACCACAATCATATTTTGTTTACATTTGAAATATTACGACAACAAAGTGGGCTTAACTCGGGTCAACTATTACAATGTTAGATAGAAAGGAATCAGTGTGTAACTAATAAAACATTTATTAAGCAATACACAATACAGTCGAGACCTATGCACCAATGGAAGTAACTCATTTTCCCAACTTTTTTCTTAGTGACTCCGGCATAGCAGCGGGTGGTGGACGCGGCATCCCCGTGTATACCTTAAAACCATCATACACGAACCACTGGAGGCCAGTCAACGTACCGATCATCACGATACGAGCGACCAATCCTCGCCAGATACCAACAAACCCCACTTCAGATAAGATGCCTCCGATACTCGCACTTGGATCCTTGTTCAGCTTGGACACGATCGTATCTGACGGGTGCGATACTATAGCACACAGGACGCCAGCTATGTACCCAGCGGTAAACGTCAAGACCAACTGCTCCACTTTAGTACATTGCTCTCTCGGCTTCGGCACTACATTGGTGTATAAATACTCCAAAACTTTTTCAAACGACGAAAACTTCATCATCGTATACGGCACTTGCCGGCCCCAAAGGGGCGCCAGTCCTTTGTAGAAAACGCCAAAGCCTTCCGTCGCTAGCATGTGAGGCATCGCTTTCCTCATTTGTGATGTGTACCCCGGAGTCGTTTGCATTCTGACTTTCGTAGCCTCGAACGGTGCGAGAAAACAGTCGGCGACTAGTTCCGCGGAGGCCGACGCGGCGAGATACAAGTAGGTTCTGTATAAATACGCGCTTTCCTCGTCCACCATGGTTGCGAACTTGTATTTGAAATACTCGTAACCAGCAAACTTCACAGACCCTTGCAAAGAATAGCCGATGAGCGTCGGGGCCCAACCTTTCACGAGATTGGCGGCTCCGCCCTCTCTAAATGAGATTCCGAATCCTTTAAAGATCGATTTGTACTTTCCCGGGTCGACTTGTAAGCGGCATTTAACGAGATCTAACGGTGTCACGAATGTGTGTGTGGACCCACACGCCACTGCACCGCCTGCAGCGCAAAGCATAAAAAATTTATTGCTGAACATCTCGCACGAAAATTCTTCTTTTTTCGCCATTTCGGACTCTTGATAACGACACTAAACGGGGCTCAGAACTTTAAAATTTGATCATTTCATGACTTTATTGGATTTAAATCAAATTTCTTGAACTATTGTGACAGAAAAACATACACTCTTAGACAATTTCAGCTATTTTGCTTTTAATATTAAGACAAAAAGTTCTTAACACTCAGTGACATAAACTGTATAAAGCCGCTATATTCTTATTGATTTTGTAATTAAAAAATAATTATTATAATGGGATTTACTCTGTGTCTAATATAGTTTACATATAAAACTATGAAAATTTTGCTTTAATCATTGAATAAAATTCATGTAAGCTTCGTATTTTAAAATCGTACGCAAATCAGACATGTCGTGACGTGTTAAGCCAAATCCAAGTGGCAAGACCGAGGCACACGAGTGTATCACAGAGACAAAAAGTCAATACACACTTCCAACAACATGTTGATTACTATGTTTAATACGCTAAGTACATACCTTAGGTCCAGTGGTTAACTCCTGACTCGTGTACACTATTGTTGTGGCGTGTCAGTCTGTAACGTTATTGGAAATAAAGGACGCCCAAGCATTTAAACCACGTTAAACTTAACACTGATTTTACGAAAAGTTAGATTTTACTCTTAAAAGCACACTAAATTCGCGAAAACTGTTAAAACAAAAACCAACTTTCAACACAAACGCGTTATAACTTAATATTGTCAATTAACAAGCCCGCGCGATTGGCACTTAAAAGCGAACGACAGCGCGCGCTTACCTCGTTCAGCCGTCGTATTGGAATATCTAACCTACCTCGAATGTAATTACTTTATTCCGAACATTGGGTATAATAAAAACACAAAATTACAAATGAAAGATGCCCCCCTTTTATTTCAAACACTTGTTAATTATTGAAACGATAGTACCGCAAGCGCACTTAAAAATGGCGCGGCGCGAAAGGTGACGCTTCTTGCGTTGTGCGAGGCACAGATTATCTAGTGACGTAAATATAGATAATAAATAGAAGGAAATTATATATTTTATAAAATAATTGTGACACCGTCATAAATGAAACGCGTGTTAATATTAAAAAGTTATTTATTAATTTACCACTTCATGAATGAAACGCGTGTTAATATTAAAAAGTTATTTATTAATTTACCACTTTCTTAACCTACGTTAAAATAGAACACATTATTTTTTATCGTATGCACATATTTACAAAATAAACTTAGTCTATTGAATTGTGTATAACGCCAAGAAATAATAACATACAAATCCTATAAAAATAGCCTTAAATGTACATAAATGTAACAGTTATATATTTATCGTAAATTTGTAGACTGCTCCAGCAGTTAATGGTAAATAAAATAAAATAACGTAAAGATTCAGTTGATTGCATAAATATAAAAATCTGTACTATTTGTCAATATAGTGTTGGAGAAAATAAATAGTTCTCTTAAATAAAATATTACTCATCTTATATTCTATACTGGCACTAGTGATGGCATATAAGTAATGAATCTATTAGTTGTATTAGTCGATATTTCGATATGGGAGATCTTCGCTATTGATCCCCAGATCGTACCTATTCTAATATTGCTTCGTTTGGTGTCGATAAGAATCGATATCGATAACTAGCATACGATCAAACACTCTAGTATTAATACTGCCGAGATCGTCCAACGATATTGAAGGACGATCTTAACATTCGTCATATGCGATTTCTCAAATACTACAAAAATTAACAAGTAAATTGAGATGGCAATATAAAAATTTATAAGCGCGAATATTACGGGTATGGTATTCATTTAAATAGAGGGCTTATAACGGTTTAAAAGGTCTATATATTAGTGACCACTGCTTTTGTAAAGTATCAGAAACGTCGGATCGGAGTTTAAATAAATTTAACTAATATATTACGCATTCTAAGCCGTTATATAAGATTTGAAGAGAAATGAGAAATCGCACATCCAAAGGTTTCTCTTAAAATGAAGAATTTTGTTGTGAGACATAACCTAACAAAGAAACGTATATAACTGAACATTTTCAAAGTTCTTTACAAGAACGTGGCAGTGCACTCTAATTGACTGGTTTCGTTGGCAGTGTCTTTCAATTTCATATTTACAACCAGCATGGTGATTAATTATTATGAAAAGTTTTTACATGAAATAATAATTGAATAAATTGAGTCTGAAACTTGAGTGCAGTTTAAAGTAACAAATAAAGAAAAACCTCCGATCTACAAAACTCCAAAATAAAATAAAGGCTGCTGCAAAGCGTCTGAAATTTTGGACGGGTTACAACGCGAAATATATTAAATGTTTAATTCTAACATCTCAATTGTGAATTGAAATTTTACTTTGATTCATCACATCACAGTTTTTTTAGAAACTTAGTTGCTTTTTAAAGTGACAATCTCGTTATTCATTTCTTCTCGTTCTAACATTTGTTTTAAAATGACGTGATAATTTTAAATTCGTTGAATTGAAATTATGGGCCGAATGAAATTATGTAGACCGAAGCTTAAATTTATATACACTCTCGTAGAAGTAGATCTTAATGAAAATCGGCGATTTGGAGGCGGGTCTCACTAGCACACGTAATCAGCGTTTGGGTGGCGCGATCCGGACAGACACGTACAGTCGAAGCGGCGCGGGCGCATCCTCCAAGTGACGTCTACTTCTTCGCTTGCTCGACTGCGGTGTGACAAACCGAGCTTCTAGCTCAAGTTGCTTTTCGAGCATCTGTTGTAAAAAATATAAGGAAGATCTATTACTATTATTTTAAAATTGTTAGCCCGTCAAATAAGTGTTTCACCTACCATAAACTAAACCCCGTGCTCGTCTATAAATAAAACACTTATAACGGTTTAACATGCGATATATATTAAACCGTCTAAAGTGTTAAAAAATTACTGACAATACCCAATTATTCGTTAAAAAAAAGTACTGACTAACCTCATTAGATTTGAGATGTTTCCTAAGTCGTAGCGCCCAAGTTCCGTCCTTCTTGTTAAGTATGAAGTTCTTCTCGTCGTCTCCATATGCTATGCGATAGTGTGGACGACCTTCTCCTTCAGCGGGCACCAATCTCACGAGGGGAACCCTGCCCCAGGTTTGCTTTGGACTAGCTGTCACTACTATTAGCTCAGCTTCCGGCTCCAACAGAGAACGGCGGCCTGAAATTAGAAACAGGTTGTAAGAAGTGGTGGTTAGATGTCACTATAATCATCGAAAATTATTAACCGAATTTCTTTGTAAAATTTAAGGCTGCAAATCAGCGCTTCACAGCCATGTAAAACTTTAATATGTGCACTGTTTACCAGAAAAAGCTTGCGAGTTTTTGCTCAAAATCAGCATCGCAGCAGAATTCTGCTGCAACTTATGCTGACGAAAGACCCTTTCATTTACTTATATTTCATTATATATTTTTATTGTTTTATTATAACTATTAATAAAAAACTGTACTAAGTCAGCTTAATAACAAATATAAAAATATTATATTATTAGAATATGTACGGAAAAATTACTGCTTTTTATTATCGTAGCATATGGGGAATTAAAAAGTCTTTCATAATAGTTTTATTAGGACTCACGTCGACTTCGCCTTCTTCGTCTCCTTACAACTGTAGTTCCATTGGCATAGATAATCGCCTCGTCTGGTGCCCTTCTGTGACGTCCGTTCATCTATTTTTAATAATAACAACTTTAATCGTATCTTTCTGATTCAAATTTCTACTGTTGATAATTCCTACTTGGGAGGATCGATGTAGATCTAACTATTTCACGAACTTAAAATATATATATATATAACTTTCTTCTTTAGCCAAGTAACTTTAAATGAATTTTAGATTAAAAACAATTTACAGCACGAGCAGAACCTGAACAGGTATTCCCAGCGTTTCGTGCTGTTTGCTCTAATTGAGCTACCGTGTCGTACGTCATCGTAATTTTTTTTTCAACCTATTGCTACATGCACCTCTCGCGCAATAGAGAGGGTCTGTTAGCTGAGTAACGCAAATTTCTATATAATAAATAATATATGAGTCTGTAGGTAAATTTCAAGTTCACGAGAATACTCACCTTACAACTGAAGCACCCTTCTGTCGATATAAGTTCGTTGTCACCTCCAACTTTGTACTGATGTCGCACTGGGAAAACTGGTGCGTCCCCAATATCATCTGGTGGTAGAGCTCCATCCATAGCAGTTAAGCAGTGACCAGCTCCAACCAACTGGTAACCAGCTGGGCAACCGCACTGGTATGAGGAACCCAATGCAGTGCAACCAAAGAGACAGCTAGCTGTCGCACATCCACCAGCCATCTGAAAATGAGATAGCAATAGTGAACATAAATTTAACTTAGTTAAATAGAAAACAATTAATCTATCGATACTATAGTTTACCTAATATAGGATGACAATTTGGTAAAAAAAAAATTATGTTTCAACTATGTGAGTTATTACAATTTTGCATAGTGGCCGCGAAAGACTTACACAATTTATATATTTATGTATAATAAAATACCATTTAGGAACACGTGATTTTCTTGCAAAAAAATATATTTCGATTCCTGGATAGAAAGAGAAAATACTATCTGTACTAAGTCTTCTCTGCTCTTTTATTTACCTGTAAACAGACAGCATGACCTGCATCCCATCCGTAACCAGCGGGACAACCGCATCGGTAAGAGGCTCCTATAGGGAAGCAAGGTGAAGAACCACAAGGCCCACCCGCACAGGAGTCCTGCGGTACACAAGTGCCGCTCGCTGATCTTATAGACCCTGGAAATGTTGTTAGAATATTTGTAAACAGACGGCCTTATCAGATACAAACATCCTTATAAATACCTAATCTAATCTGTGAGCATCATATTATTTATTTTTGCAAACAACCTCCTCAGCTTTATAAATTATTCCTGTTACTCACGACGTCGGCCGCGGCCCGATATTCATGCGAGTTAATCTCATTTAATAATTAATTATGTCAATTATATAATAATTTATTAACAATTTAATAATTTTAGTTTCTTTAATTGTTTTCGAAGCGTAACGGAAGCCCTCAGAGATTGAATTTTTTTTTTTGTTTCTGCATTCCTATAGGTCGCCGGTTTTATAGCCTATAATAGCCTTCCTCGATAAATGATCTAGCTAACACAAAAAGAATTTGTCAATTCGAACCAGTACTTCCTAAATTAGCGCGTTTACTCTTCAGTTATATTAGTATAGATCTGTATGGGAATTTGCCATTGCCTTCCAGGACATTAAAAATACAGACCAGCAGGACATTCGCAGCGGTATCCTCCAGCATAGTTCCTGCATGGTGACTGACAGCGGCCATCTTCACACTCATCGCGGTCCATACACCTGGTGCCAGTTAGATCTAATCGGAAACCACGAGGACACACGCAGCGGTAAGATCCCAAGAGATTCACGCACTTGCCAGGTGTTGGGCAAATGCCTTCTTCGTGACACTCGTTTATATCTGAAAAAAATAAATAAAGGAGTTACTTTTTATGATAGAGGAGCACAGATAATAGAAGTCCATATTTATTAAAGAATAATCATTGCTTTTATTTATGATAAACATTTTGGATCCGATGGGAATCGAACCCACGACTACTTGATTATTGCCAAACGAGCCCATCCTACTGTACTACTCTAATCTCTGTTAAGGATATGTCTTCAAAGTAATATATCTAGCAATGTCTATGCATATAACAATAAATGAAGAATACTTACCGACACAAGCATCCCCTCGCTTTTCATAACCTTCTTGGCAGGAGCATTCAAAAGAACCTTCAGTGTTAGTACAGGTTTGCTGGCAGGTATGCGTCCCCCGCTCACATTCATCTATATCCCGACAGTTAGCTCCATCTTCGTCGACTTCGAATCCAGCCCGACACAGACATTCATAGGAACCTTCAGTATTGCGACACAATTGCTCGCACGGAGAACGACGAGACGCGCACTCATCTATATCTGCGCATACGTCACCGGCCGCTTTGTAGCCAAGACCACACACGCAACGGAAACTGTAAAATGGAGTTGTTTTTTTTTAAGTACTTTATGACTTTTGCGTTCTTAAATTTAATGAATTAATAATGGACAACAATGTGTGAATTTAATATTGTTATAGGCAGGTGTGGTTTGGCATACCCCATTCAGAAAAGAAATAGGTGAAATGCGTGCCTTTGATAGACATATTATTATTTGTAAATTATACAGCTGTACTATTGTTTTTTAAATCAGAAACAGAATCTAAAATCTGTGCTAATTTTAACTGCACAACATGGTTCTTGAAGCATAAACTTGGTTATGTTACGGAGTCTAATAACTAATAAACAAGCTTAATAGATGCCGCTTAAGATTTACTAATTTACTCTTTGCTTTAACATGGTAATAAAAAATCTCACCTTCCAATAGTATTAACACAGCGACCTGGTGCACAGAGACCTGGCATCGCAGCGCATTCATCTATATCACCATAAACGTCCGGTATTAGACCCAGTTCGCTCTCACTGTCTGGACCCCCTCCTCCATTAATTCCTTTGGAAGGAGATAGGTTGCTACGTGAACACAGCTCCATGCGTTCCGGTGTACCTGGGATGGGACATAACTCACATTCTGGTCCCCATGCCACACCCAGGGTACAGCAACATTGGGCTCTGAAAACGATTTAATTCACACTTTACAAAATATAAACTTTAATAATTTTGTTAAACTTTAACAAAATATGAAAGTGTTAAGGTTGAAATTACATTGCGCAAGAGATGCATGTATCCAGATTGTAAAAAAACCCACAATAACGTGTAGGACACGGTAGCTCAATTGGTTAGAACATCAGTATTGAACGCTGTAAATGCCGGTTCAAGTCCCGCCCGAATCATATTCAGATATTTTCTTTTTTTTTTAAACATTAATATTTTTCACATGTTATTGCACATGAAGACACTATATAATTTAAAAATCGAAAATAAATTGAAAAAATTTACCAATTGAGCTACCGAGTCGACTCGGTAGCTCAATTGGTAGAGCAACAGCACGGAAAGCTGACGATGCTGGTTCAAGTCCTGCCCGAGTCGAAAATTTTTCGATTTTTAAATTCTTTTTTTTTCAATCTAAAATCGATTTATATTTTAAGGACCTACTTAGTAACTTGTGTTGGTGGTATGGGAGTGGAAGCTATAGATCTAGGCCATGGCTCGGGTACGCATCTTCCTGATACAAGAGATCTATGGCACATACCAGTTCTGCGATCTGTAACGTTAAAAAAAATGAACATAAGGTCTCAAAGGGGTCATCGGCCTTGGCTTTGCTTATAATCAACGGATTGTGGGCTCCATTCCCTCCCAGACTAACTTATTTTTGATCAATTTATAATTGTTCCGAAATATTATGTCAAATAATTTAGTACAGTCTAAATAGGTGGTAGGGATGTCGTAATTCCCTCCGGGTCAGAACCACCGTTCATAGATGAAAAAGCCTCAAAATTTTAATGGTTTCTATCCTCTCAAGATGTTATATGCTGGGATATTTTTCAATAAGTCAACTCAATATTTGTCTGTCTTCCTCTACCATAAAAATACTAACCGATACAGGAATGCAAGTCCTCGCTAGGTTCATAGCCCACATCACAATCGCACGTGTAACCTCCCTCTGTGTTAATACAAACTCCGGGCGCGCAGCGATCGCTCTCTTCTGCGCACTCGTCAATATCCTCACAAGCGTCTTCTGCGTCATGAGGTGCTGATGTTCTTCTGTATCCTGTATTAATCACAATAATCTTTTAGAAACACTTCACAATAAAAAAGTTAATGAAACTAGCTAGAACAGACCAAATGTTTAATGTTCAGGCATATACATATTAAAAAGGAAAGAAGTTACTGACCGATGACTCTTAGGTAGAGATTGTAAACTCGTCAAATATTTAAAATACTGTACATAATGTTCTATTGCAATTCAAATTAGTAGCCTTTATTAAATAGAAATATTTCAATAGTGGCATACAGTAAGTAAGTACGTTGCTAAGTAATAATATTTTGTCTAATTTCCTTTCGTTTATTATATTGGTAATAACTAACCTTCAGGACACTTGCAAATATAAGACCCCACAACGTTTTCGCAAGCGTGCGGACACACATCGCGGTCACTGGCACACTCGTCGACATCTCTGCAGTGTATGCCGTCTGGTGCTAGCGTGAAACCGAAGGGACATGTACAACGGAACGACCCGGCCGTGTTGTGACAACGGAATGAACACGCCGCACGACCTTCCGCACACTCGTCTATATCCACGCACGTCTGGAAAAATAATCATCATATAAATGAATATACAGTACATATGAACTATAAATATCAAAATACTATCCGTATAAAAGAAAATTACGATCATATTTACGCGTATACTTGAACAACAGTCTTTAGGTAGATTAGAAAAAGTTAGCAAATATACTTTGCGTTGTAAACTGTTCCACGTGTTTTCGAGTTATATGCAATTATTAAGATATGTAAACATACATTTTAAAAATAGATACGTTTTGTACTGAAATTGTTATTAGTAGAAAAAGAAATTTAATTAATAAAAATATGAGAAGAAAATGTTTATTACCCCTGATTTACAATTACAAATCATTGCTTTTTTTGACTTTACCTGTTGCGGTCCCTGCGTGAATCCATAGTTACAACGGCACTCGTAGCCACCAGGCGTATTGGTACAAGTACCGTTTCCACAAATACGGGGATCAGACGCGCACTCGTCCGCATCCACACAGGAAAGACCGTCTGCGTCCAGTACGTAGCCCGGTCCACACTCACAACGGAACGATCCGTCCGTATTAACGCAGTGACCACCTTTACACACATCTGGACGGACCTTGCATTCGTCTAGGTCCTGAAATGTTTTAGAGTGTTTTTAGTATAAGCTTATCTGATAGAGATTTGAAAGTACTGTGGTATTATGTAAGGTAAAATTATTTTTAATTGCAATAGATACTCTGTTAAGAGTACACATTTAAATATTATAAAAATAATTTGCTAAGTTCTATTTTCTTTACATTCTAAACAATAAAGTAACTCATTCGCTCTTTGAAAATATCGAGCAAAGTAGTAAGTTTTTATCGATGTTCTTGAATAATCGTCATTCCTTTACGGTCTATTTCTGTATCTTATTATTGAAATTTCAGGAAAGTGAGACCACTACAACCTAGGTAAATACAAGAAGAATTCCTTATAATCATTATTACCTGAGTGAGATTAGGTCTTCCCATTCCACCTTGGCAAATACGTAGAAATTCTGCAGAATCAGGTGTCGGACAACGTTCACAATACCTACCCCATGCCGCACCTAGAAGAAAAATATCACTTATCTTATTAGCTACATACTTGGTCTAATGGTTGCATTGGCTAATACATAACCGGTCGTGGGGTCGATTCCCAACGGGTCCAACATGTTTCAAATTCTTCAATTTTTATTTTTTCCTCCTCTACCATAAAAAATAAAAAAGATACTGCAGCTCGAATCTGAGAGAGAAGAAGAGAATCGAGAAAGAAGAACGGAACTGAACCTTCTGAACAACAGCATTCCGGTCTGCTAAGCTGTATGGGGCGAGCTTTATGACAACGCCCTCCGTCCCATTCGTCGTAGCACAGTTCTTTGCGTTCGTCGACACATAACGCTGCCGCTTTATCGAACCGCCAGCCGAGTGGGCAGTCGCATCGGTATCTATCGATTAATAACATCAATATTTAACCAACTAAAAGAAGACAAAAAGAAAAGACATTAAAGTTATTATATATAAGTAGAACAAGTGGTTTATTTAATAAAAAAGAAAAAAAAGGGTATTAACTCCTTAAAAGTAGTAATTCTTATTAAGGTCTGTCAATAAATAAGTTTATGTAATCAAATGTAAAGCAAACAGCTTGAAACAGTTATTTTGACTGATATTTAAACGACAAAAATCCTGAGAGAGTAAAATATTTTTGTTTTAACTGTGAAATAGAAAACAAATTATATATTTTTACAGAATTTACGGACAAAGTTGACAAACACGTTGCAAGACACATACCCTCCATTAAAGTTATGACAATCACCGCCTGCGCAGACATATTGAAGCTCACGACATTCGTCCCGATCCACGCAACGCCGTCCTGCTAGACGCCATCCAGCACCGCAAGAGCACTCGTAACTGGAATATAGAATTGTAGATTTTTAAACAAATGGTATTTTAAAAAATATTTAAGCTGTTATACACCAACGTTTTAATAGAGCTTCACTGAAAATAGGCCTATAATTTTATTATTCAGCCAGTTAATTCATGTACATATTTCTTAAAAAATCGTTTTTAATTTGAAAAAATTACGACACATGCGGGACTTGAACCGGCATCCAAAGCGTGCCGTGCTTTTGCTCTTACCAATTGGGCTACCATGATATCATCGATTACACGTCGCACTTATATAACTCTTCTTTTTTTTACTTAATATAATATAATTGAACTGAATATAACTTAATATTTATATTCTTAACTTAATATTTGTAACAAGAGCTCTTACCCGCCATTGGTATTAGTACAAGAGGGCGAACCGTCTCGACCGCACGGCGCCGGTAACTCAGTGCATTCGTCTACGTCGCGGCAGTTCCGTCCATCGGGTGTCAGCGTGTACCCAGCGGCGCATTCGCAGCGGAACGAACCCGCTGTGTTGCGACACCGGCCGTTGCGGCAAACCATACCTCCTTCGCGGCACTCGTTTATATCTGGTTAAGAAGGTCGATGTTATTAAAGTATGATTGAAATTCTACAGTTTAGAAAAGCAAATTTATATACTAATATACCACCATTGATTTAGTGGCGGTGGTGGTTAAAACCCATTACAATAAATTTTTTATAGGGTAAAATGACGTAAATATAAAAAAAATCTAATAACTACTTAATCTAAATAAAATTGTCATTCAAATGTTTTAATTCAACTTTTAAATGATTTAAAAGCAAAATATATTATTATATTTTAACTATAACCAGAATATTTAATAAAAAATTTAAACTAATTTCGCGTTTAAACCTTTAAAAGTTCAGTATTTAAATGTTTACTACTTGCGAAAACTACAGACAATACTTAGGTACTCATTCAACAGGCGTAAAATATATTTCATATTGGAAAAAAATGTCATCATGAGCAAATAATTCAGTTTTAAGCCCTAGTATAACAAAACCTACCGATAGTCCTACTTAATTAATTTAAAGTACTATGTTAATCTAATAAATCATGTATTTTTGTATTCACATATTTGGGAAATCTTTACTTTAACTCACCGATACAATCGTTATTGGCTCCGGGTTTGAATCCTTCGTCGCAGTGACAGACGTATGTTCCGGGAAGGTTTTCGCATGTACCATTTCTGCAAAGTGGGCGGGGCCGACTACACTCATCCACGTCGCGACACGCGTTGTCACGCAGTGTGTACCCAGGTTTACATTCACAGCTGAAATTCAAATTAAAAACGCTTTATATAAAGAAAACCCCTTTTACACAAGTATTTTAAACTAAACTTTTAGATCATCAGAAATGTAGAATTATTAGTCACATCAAATACTGTCTGTAGTTTACGCGAATAGTTAACTATATATACTATACATATCGCGTTTTAAACCGTTAAAGTGTTCATTTAAATATTAGACATATTATTGCAATTGTTTCAATTATGTTTATAAGATAACTAAGACGCAATACAAAGTTTATACTTTGTAGTTTAGTATCTATATATTACAATAATTATTTCAGATTATTGACCTCTCCATAAACAAAACGACAACCAGCACAATGCGAAATGCCATTTGGCTCAAAGAAAACGCGCGAACTAAGACAAGTCCATAGAAAAGACACCTGGACAAACAAACGCATCCGTTGTGCTATCTCAAGTTCAGCGCAGTTCAAGTAAGTGGGTTAAAATAGTCGAGTTTCCGCTATTTAGCAATATAGTCACGATAACTTGTGACCGATTGAGTGAATGCGTTTTGAATTAAGTGCGATAAGATTGCGCAAGTCCGTTCTTTTATTGTAAAAAACGATATAAACCTAAAATTTTCAATTAATAAATGATAGTACATTTAAATTTAACATTTTACTCGTTTCGATCGGTAATTATGGTGAATTAAAAAAACACTTTAACGGTTTAAAACGAAAAATATATATTAGTTCGGATTGAGTTTTGGACATTTTGCAGCAGCCATGGTTACAGGAGACATCCGAAGCGTCGGGCCCCAGTTAAAATAATTTGCAAATAAGTTTAACTAATATATATCGCGTTTTTAACATGTAAGTGTTTTATTTAAATGCGTACTACTCGCATAAACTCATATGCAATAAAATACAAAAATGTGGTAAAAGTAATATGCCTCTTGTATGGTAATTTTTAAAATCCTACCGGTACGATCCAATAGTGTTTCTGCATTCGCCATGTTCGCAAAGCCTTTCGTCGTCACATTCGTCCACATCTTCGCATTCGTCGAGCGAGTTCGTCAGTTGGTATCCGGCCGGACACTAAACAAAATAACAATTCGATAAAATAACTATTCTTCACAGTTATCGCAAACGCGCCATCTTTGTCAGGTTACTCATTAGTTCGTAAGACTTTTTAGGTATAAATATACAAAAGTAATTGAACCTCAATACAACAAATATAAATATATATATATAAAAATAGACAGTTCTTGATAGGATGCTATACAGGTTAAGGTTGAAATTACATTGCGCGAAAGGTGCATTGTATCAATAGGTTAAAAAATATGACATAAGACACGGTAGCTCAATTGGTTAGAGCAATGGCACGAAACGCCTATGGATGCCGGTTCATGTCCTGCCCGTGTCGTAATTTTTTTTCAAACTAAAATCCGGGTTCAAGTTGGTCTATGACTGTTTTTTATAACGTCGAAATTATACAATACCTTGCACTCGTAAGCCCCTGGAAGGTTCACGCACTGAGCGAGTCCGCGGCAAGGGGAACGGTGAAGTGTACACTCGTCGATGTCGCGACACAAATGGGACGTGTTGTCGTGCTCGTATCTAGACACCAAATATTATGTTATTTTAATGATTTAAAAAGTCTAATACCTAAAAAAAATATTAAAACACAATTAATAATATAACGCAACCATATTTAAAGTAATAAATGAATATTCTTGAAAGCTAAATAGTTCTATAGCAAACCAACTCAGAAAAATGGAATAGTTGTATATACATTACTATAAAGCCAGAAATAATGATTTCGTACTTAATTGGTGTACTAAATGGACAAAGCTATTAATCAACGTTTCGCTGTTTTAGTTCTTTATTGTGTTTGCATGTGTATATGTTTTTCTGTTAAAGTGGGCATATCAAAATTCTATCTGAGTCACAAAGTCTTGGTTTGGGTCTTTTCCTGAATGTAATTAGTTCACCAACACATTTAAATTGGAATAGAAAAACAGACATACCCCTTTCATCAAGTTAAGGGCTAATCTATCCTCTTGTCATGAAAAAAATACTGACCCATGATCACAACCGCACTGGAATCCTGTTGGTGTATCGTGACAGGTACCAGGCTTGCAGAGCTGCGGCATGATATCACACTCATTAATGGGGCGAGTTTCATTTGTCATGGGGTTGATGTATTCTCCAGGTTTCTCTCCACATAGCGCCACGTGTTCGGGGGATCCGCGTTCGGGGCACGCCTCGCAAGGGCTACCCCAAGCCTTACCGACGGAACAGCAACAGAGATACTTGGTTTGCGGCACACCGACTGCAGCTGAGCATTGACTTAGCTCAGGGTCCCAATCCATGTAACATTGGCGTTGACGCACGTCCACACATTCCTCTGAAAATTTTGAGGAAATTCGGTGAAAAAATGCTTACTGAGGGCAGAAATATACAAAATTCACAAAAACACTTCTAAAACATAAAAAGGCCTTTGTAACTTTTTTTAACATAGTGCGTATAATTAATTGAAAAAATAATTAGATTAAAAAAAATTACAACAGGGGCAGGACTTGATTTATATTATGGCATCATGTGCATGTAAAAAATATTAAAGTTTTCATAGCATCTATAATGTTCATATTGTATTCCACAATTTAATAACTGGTATGCAATTTATTTCAACCAACCATAATAAATTACTTACTTCCATTAGGCATAGCCACGTATCCTTCCGGGCACAAACAGACGTACGAGCCGGGCATGTTTCTGCATACTCCAGGTCCACAAACGTCAGGGCGGGCGCATTCATCTATATCCTCACATTTCAGCTCATCTTCTGCGAGTTGCCAACCTTCCCCACATGTGCAGACAAATGATCCAAATGTGTTCGTGCACGTCCCATGTTGGCAAAGCGATGGATGTTGGGAACACTCGTCTATATCCGCCAGGGTTACCACATACGATGGCTTTGGAAATAACAGAGAAATTAGATACTGATGATACTATCGGTACCACAAATCATTTATTCATAAGTAGATATACTTAACAACGTCAATGCAGTTAAAAATTAAAAACTCTAAATTGACGTTTCCCAAATACGTCCTTAATGTACGAGAAGAACTGGCAAGAAACGCGCCGCAACTCCTTTTATGGTGATTTTTTTTTGTTACAAGTTCTTTACACACTTAATGTGTACATCGTTTTGTAGTTTACATAACACGGTACAATAGTTCATTGTTTATATCCCAATGAAAAAAAGATTAAATAACCTATTAATATAATAAATGCGGTTATATACCTGCCCTCTGCAAAATATCAAGGAATAAAGAGCTTGGGATCAAAGAAATTAGTTTTGACCAAATCAAAAAAAAAAAATCAATTCTTTTATAGTGTTTTAAATTAGCGAACACTACATACCGGTTCCAAAACAGGCTGATAACCGGGGCCACCTGGACATAGTTGCCTGTACGCTTCAGATCCGGGCTCAGGACACAGGTCGCAATAGTTACCCCATGCGGCTCCTACGGAATTCAAATGTTAGTTTACTACAGCTTAAGTATTCATATAGTACATCGTTTTTTAAACTTAATTTAAGAAATTCCTAAAAAAAAAATATGTTTACATCAATTAAAATAAGAGAGGTACTAACCGACTGAGCAACAGCAGGCAGCCATCGTGCCATCCTCGGAAAGTTCGTCACTGTCCCGGCACTGCTCGGTTCCCGAACGCAGATCCACTTTGCCATAACAACGCGCCTTTCGTGAATCTATAAAAAAATATAAAGTCATATTACTTAATAGTCCAAGTTATCTAAAGATGATATTTTATGACAAAATAACACTGGCAAGAAAGAAGGCTATCAGCCTATAGACTTTGGTTTTGTATTATACCATAATGGCGGGGACGCCGCATTTACGATACAACACATTCCGTCAATTTGATGGTGGCGCCGACATTATCATGTATTAGTTCAATCAAAGTGGTGCGTCACCAGGACGGAATTACTATATTTTTACCACCAATTTTTTTTGGTTTAAAAAATGGAAGCCACAGCCCCTTCATTGTAATCCCTAAATTGTTACTCTTGGCATAATAAGCGTAATCAAACGTACACAAATACCTAAATAAAATAATATTTTAATAATCTACTTACCATAGCAGGCTGTACCATCAGAGACAAGTTCGTAGTTAGGCGGGCAGCGGCAGATGTAAGACCCTTGAGTGTTGATACATTCTCCGTATTGGCAAGACTGGGGCGATTTGCATTCATCTACATCCGTACAGTTGAAGCCTGGCATCACTGCAGGTGAAAAAAAAAAAAATATGATTTTTTTATTTGAGCTTAGTTTCATCACATAGGTGCCATAGAGCAAATCAATTTCGAGATTCGTAATCGTGTGTTTTGATTCAAAGTAACGTTATTATAATTTAACATCCTGTTTTTTTAAGTAATTAAATATTTGTTACAAAAATAATTAACTCTAAACATAATTGAAGAAAACTCACAATCATCAATACTGTCTGATTGATATCCCTTATCACAGATGCACTTAAACATGCCGAATGTGTTAACGCAACGACCAAACACACATACGTTGTCGAAGGTGCCGCACTCGTCCATGTCTGTAACAAACGTAATACATTTATACTAATACTAGCGGCCCTGTCCCGGCTTCGCACGGGTAGACATAAATAAGTACATTAAAACGACCATGAATCACTAAATTTGAAAAAAATTGTATTGCGCGTCCTCTCTATTAACTACCGTTTTATTTACAAATATTATGCAAAGTGTGATTCCTAATACTAAACTAAGTAGCTTTGAAAAGAAATAAAAAAGAAAAAAAGAAGCATAAAAATGTTTAAAAAAAAATCGAAAATTCAATGTCGTTCGCGCCCACTGCCCCTCTATCGTCGAATTAGTTACTTGATGAGAATAAGTAATAATTTAAATAAAACACTTTAACGGTTTAAAACGCGATATATTAGTTAAACTTATTTGAAAATGATTTTTAACTTCGGCCCGACGTTTCGGATGCTTTGCAGCAGCCGTGGTCACGGGGAGAGTGTATAAGTAATAATTATTTTTCATTAGAAAGCTACATGATCACAGGCTATATTAAGTACTTGATTACTATAGGCATCTATAGAAATTCTTACTAAAACCAACGGAAGGCGTAAAAAAATTAGCCATAAAATATCTTTCATCGCTTACGCTGCGATGAGTATTAATGATAGGACAAACAAATGTTCGACAATATTATCGAATATATTAATATCTACAAAAAACTTCCCGAGACCATATGTCTAACTATTGTCGTTAGGCCACTATAACTACTTTTTTACATTTAACAAATTGATAAATATGCCGATCTGAATCAGACCGTGTTATCTATACCATTTATAAATCTTTATACAAATAAACATTTAATAATTACTTTTTTTAATTATTGAAATTGAAAATTATACAACGAAACTGAAAAATGTATATCAAATACATAGATAAGTATGTTAGTTAGATTACTGTATCGAAAATATAGTACTTTTTCAGTACCGTATTATAGTACAAATCTAATTATAATGACTATATATAACGATCCTAGATATAAGTACCTATGAAATTGCGAAAGTAAGTAAGCAACACGAATTTTTCTAATGAAAAAAAAGGTGTTTAACTCACCAAGACACGATTTTCCGTCGTCCGATTTAGTGAAGCCCACATCACAGTCGCATTCGTAGCCACCGGGAGTGTTTGTGCAATGTCCGTTCTCGCATAATGTGGGGTCATTTGCGCACTCGTCAATATCTACGCACGAGTAGCTGAAAATTAAAATAAATAAATAATAAGAAACAGATTAAAACATGTTTTTTAACGAGCATTTTATACGAATTTACGTAGGAATATGTAAAAGCTATATTACTTCTGTCCCTTGTTTTATACAAATAGTTCTATATAAATACATTTTTTTTTAATTTGGAATACATTTATTTCCATAGTCCGCTATTTGAAGTAAATTAATTCTAAATTTAAACATTGTTTATTTTACTTGGATGTATGTTATGATTGTAAAAAAACATTACAGAAACGTAAATAAGAAAAGTTACATATTCCACATACCCATCTCCCTTATATCCTGTGTCACAGAGACACATGAATGACCCGTCTGTGTTACGGCAAGTGGCCCGCGGGTGACAGCCGCCGTTGTTAGTCAGACATTCGTCCACATCTTCACACTCCGTGCCGTCACCGCGCCAACCGTCGCGGCATCGACATTGGAATGAACCCTGAGAAAAGAGTATTTAAATTATTACATTAATCTGAATCTCCGCTAAGATCTTTTATTAGGAGTATGATTGCAAGTGCAAGAACGTTATTAATTTAGAAAGTTTAACACGTATTCTGTATGGGCACTATAAGTAATGTTTAAAAAAATAGCGAAACAAATGTAATTTTTTTTTCTCTTCCACACATTTATTATATATTATTTATATTTAGTATTTATATTCACACACACACTATAATATTATTAATACTTTAAGTTGGCTAAATTATTTTGTGTTGTACTTACAGGTAAATTAATACAGTCAGCGGATGGATGACAGTCACAAGTTCCAAGTTCGCACTCATCATCGTCTGTACACGCTGGACCCTGTTCTGGCTTCACGCTGTAACCGTCTGGACAGCGGCAGACAAAGCTGCCGATCGTGTTACGACACTCACCCGCGCCACAAAGGTCTGCTATCTGAAATCATATATCAATTTTGTCTTCTGAATCTGAGAGATTAACATACTGTTCGCAATACATACGTCACCCCTAGGTAAATACACTCTTCTTAGTAAAAAGTGAAATCTGAGTAATAATTAATATATTTCGCGTTTTAAACCGTCACAGTGTATATGTAAATGTGTACTACTCGCGTAAACTACAGACAGTATTTCACTTACATCGGTACATTCGTCGATATCGAGACAGGTTGGTCTGGCATCGGGAGGTGCTGGTAGCAACCCTTCCCCACACGTACAGCGATAAGACCCAGGGGTGTTCCGACACTCGCCACCGCCGCAGACGCGTGCGCCACTACTGCACTCGTCTATGTCGCGGCAGGACCGACCGTCGGCGCGTAAATGCCATCCGTCTCTACAAAAGTATTGGAATATTGTTAAGAGTTGAAATAATTTGTAGAGTATTTTTTACGTTAGAGGAGAACAGGCTAGCATGGATTCACTCGATGGACTTGTCCACTTCTCCATAAACCATCCGAACAAAACATGCTATCAACGTATTTTGTGTAGAGATTTTTCACACAGCCTTTTAGTTTCAGGGAATCGAAGTACGTTGACTTGTAGTTGTTCATTTCTACCATTACACCATCATAAATAAGTAACACTAGTTTGAATTTAATTTTCGATTTCTCATCTCTCTGACTAACGGAAACTATAATAAAAAATTTCGTGAGTGTCGTTACTACACAAAATATTCTATTTCTAAATAAAAAAACAGTCGCCGTTTATTTTAAATGCTACGCAAAGAAACGAGCTTTAAAGCTGGAATAATTTTTAACTACATCTATATAAAACAATATAATAAACAGAATAATATTTACCAAAATAATAAAAATAAAAACATCTATAATTTGATTGTGTACAACAAGTCTGTACATTGTATAAAACTACTCCAAACTACGTACCACATACATACCCAGATAGGATTTTTTGTGTGCATAATTTATTAGAAAAAAAAAAGAAATGTCTCAATTCACCTGCAAACACAGTGGTACGACCCAGGCGTATTAACACATTCGTGCTGACAACGTGTGGGATCTTCCGAGCACTCGTCGATGTCTTCGCAGTGTGATTTGACCGTCGACTGCGCATATCCTTCATCACACACGCATTGGTAAGTACCCATTTGATTCTCACACGCCCCGTTACTGCATATACCTAAAAAATAAAAAGGAGTTTAGAAGATTTAGTATTGTATGTAGTTTGTGCGAGTAATACACAAAACACTTTTAACGGTTCAAAACACATTTTAGTCCTCACTATCCTGTTTGAAAGTTAACCTTAGTTGATTAAAATTTCAAATCAAAGGATTCATTCAAGAATCAAGGAATCAAGGAAAATCATTATCATTGAAAAATCATTATTATAGACCTACAAGAGTCAAATTTAACTTTGACTCTTGTAGGTCTATAGTAGCAATGTATGGCTAGTATTAGCTGGTCGAGGGTTCGCTTCCAACCAACATGTTTTTGAAATCAGTTCAAATCTCTCTGAAATATTTGCTTTGAAAATCTGGATATTATTGGAGTATCGAAATTCCGTCCGGATCACGAATCAGTGTTCACAGATGAAAAAGCCACGAGGGCGTTTCGGTTTTAGCAGTCCAAATCAAAAAGAATCGGGTATTTTACCCTCTCTTAAGTGAAATCCAAGTTTGTCTATCCTCCTTTGTCATAAAAAGGCGACTAGATTTGTTAAAATTCTTACCGGAAGTTATAGAGCACTCATCGATGTCTTTACAAGAAAGCCTATCGGGTGCTAGTTCCATACCGGCACCACACTCGCAGCGGAATGATCCAGGTGTATTCACGCATCGGCCGCCGCGACACAGAGCGCGGTTCTCAACACATTCGTCGATATCTGTAATTTAAAGATCCACAATCTTATTTTTGCGTTTTTCTCCTTTTTTTATTAGGAATATTAATTTGTATACACCATTTTACACATATATTATTTATATGTTCACTTACCAACACAAACTTTGGAAAGATCATCAGTTCTGTATCCACTATGACATATACAGTTGAAGCTGCCTTCAGTGTTGCGACATTCACCAGCACCACAAACATTTTCAACTATCTCACATTCGTTGACGTCAACACATGTGTGATTCTTGGAATCCTGAAAACATTTGACCTCGATGATATTACTTATCACATATATAGATATACAGTGAAACCGGGTTAGTTCGGATATTAAAGGACATATGTACCAATAATCCAGTTTTCCAATTAAGTAGATTAAGATTTTATCTGTCTCATTTACAGAGGACGGCGCGTCCGTTTGTAAATAAAGATGTCATAATGCGTTAAAGCCTGATAATTTTTGTCTCACTCATGCATTGAGGTACTCTCAATTGGATTGTCAAAAAAGAGAGGTAAACTTTAAAAAAGTCTTAGAATCCAAATGTATTTTAACTAGGTTTAGAAAGTTCCATTGACAGAGATATTAAAATGAAAGGTCATAAACCTCATTACAACTTTTAATAATAGAGGTTTCACATTTATCCAGGTGTGGGACCTGGATAAATGTGAAGATTTCATCTAACCGGGTTTCATTGTAGTTCGAGCATATAAAAACTTTAGGGTATGCCCTCAACCTCAATAGATTTTCACTCTGTCGAGACTAACCTGCTCATATCCAGGGAAGCAGTCACATATAAACGTTCCGACCATATTTTTGCATCTCCCGTGTCCGCAAAGACCTGGGAAGGCAGCGCACTCGTTGACTTCCATTTGGCCAGGGGTGACTCCGGGCCTGCCTTGCCCCCAACCATCGCTTGTACCATTTCCCCAAGTACCACCGCCATCGTCCCAACCGACGCCATTATCTCCATCACCGATCTGATTCCAGATGTCCGTTCTGTTCGGTCCACCGGAACCCGGACGTGTCCACACGTTAGGTGGACCGCCGACATCCGCTACGCAAAGATTTCTGTATGCGTCCGTTCCTACAAATAAAGTCGTTTTATAATAAGGAAAATTTGAATTCGATAGATTTTCTTACAGTTAAAACTTGGAATTATAATATTATCTTGGAGCCCATTTACCCAAAACGGTAACTTATACTTTCGATTCTGTTTAAGATTGGCTTTGTTTCGGTAGAGATTATGTTTACCAGGTGTTATGAATAAAAAATTAAGAGAAGTATTAATATATATTCATACAATCTTAAAAGTAAAAACGGAATCACCTTTCTTAGGGCAGGGTTCACAGCGCGAGTCTCCCCACGCTTTGCCAAGAGATGAGCAGCAACACACGGCCCGGTGTACTTCAAGCTGCAACGGGCTGGAACAACGTCCGCCCACGTACTCCGTGTAACAATATTCTCGTCTTGTATCCACGCAACGATTGCCTATGAAAATATTATATATTATGTAATTAAAATATCAATGTAAGCCTTGAATAAATAGCAACAGCCATTCGCAGCTCCATTTCCAAGCTACTTAGAATTTCGATGGTCAAAGGCTCCTTCACTTAGTTAAGGAACGGTCAATATCCCCAGAGGATAGCCTAACAGCTTAAAAATCCATATAAATATTTATAAGCTTAAAAGTAAATGAATCAAGGAAAACAAAGTCTAAAATAAAGCAAAGGCATAGGTCACTATTTTTTAACAACACTATAAAATGTATAGTTTTTTTTTCTTACCAGATGGATCAAGAGTGAGCCCATTGGGACATTCGCAACGATAAGATCCATCCGTGTTGACACATTGTCCACCGACACACAGGTCTGGGTCCAGCATACATTCGTCTACATCGCGACAGTTAACTCCATCCAGCTAGAAACATACATTAATATAAACTTTTATAAAGTGACATTTTTTTTTAATATTTACTTCTATTCTTGTTTTGTCATTTTATTTGACGCCACTAAATGATGCCCGTACTCGTTTTGGTCTTTATGTTCGGAGATAAAAGATGTAAACTATAAAAAGAAATATTTTAAATTTAGTTTGGGTAAAATATACTTACATTAAAAATAATATTAGAATATTTCACCATAAGTTTTAGAACATAATACCTTGGCAAAACCTTTAGGGCAAGGACAGTCGTCTGGTTCGCATGGCTCGCACGGTGAGCCCCAAGCTAGACCTACACTGCAGCAGCACTCTTGGCGCAAAAGTGGAGTCGGAGCAGCGCCCTCGCATTGGCCGTCTACGACACGCCGCCAACAAGACCCTCGGCGGTTATCTGAAAGCAAATAAATCAATTTATAAAACCATGTACAAAAATGGCAGACTATGTTGTCAATAGTATGATGTAAGACCTAATGATTCGCCACTATATATTACGTAATAGTAAAAACTATCATTAAAAGACAATTAAAAAGATGGGAGTGACTAGATAATCAAAAAAAGGGAGCCTAGTGGGGAAGAATTGTATCACATCGGTGAGGGCTTTAAAAAAGCCTATGTCAAAAGTCAAATTGTTACTATTAATGATTAATACAGAAAAGTAATAAACTACCAAATTAAATAAATTATACTAATATTACAATTTAGATTTGAAGACATACCGAGACAGTGTTGCGCAGAAGCATCTAGAACGAATCCGTGTTCGCATTCACACTCGTAGCTGCCGTGCGTGTTGATGCACCTGCCGTTGTCACAAGGGTTTGATTGCTCTGGAAATGAAACATAAAGACCTCATAATTGTAATATTTTATCTTGGAAATTATACCAATAATCTTAAGTAATCGAATTAATGTTTCTGGTATTTCCTTCGATCAAGCGGTGCGGCGAATTCGATAAGTGCAAAATGAGTATGTACTTCAACTTAGTCAGTTTGTTTAAAAATATGATCATGCCAATGAATCTGTCATTTACAAAATCCCCCCTCCCCCCGGCTTTCCACAAACTATGTGTCGAGACATGCTCGTCAATTTGAAATTTCCCAAAACCAATGATCATGCATCAGTTAGATGTCCGCAGTTAGCTGATGTTGGGCGGACGCAAGTCGACAGTAGTAACCTGGACGGGCGCGGGGAGGTATATCCCCCCTTTGGGCCTGTGGCCCGAGGTCAGAGGGGTCAATCTCACCCTCGCACTCATCGATGTCCCGACAGAGCTGCTCGTCCGGTTCATAACGGGTGCCCGGTGGACATACGCACGTGAAGCTTCCTAACGTGTTCCGGCACTGTCCACCCGTACAGTACTGTGTAAAAAGCAATGTATTTAAGAATAAAATTATATATGCAGTATTGTTTTAAAAATAGCCAAGTAATCGAGTAACGTAAACAAATGATATAAATTAAAAATCGATTATGAATTGCGAGTAGGACTTGAACCGGCATCTACAACGTACCGTGCTGTTGCTCTAACCAATTGATCTACCGTGTCCTACATCGTTATAGATTTTTTGGTAAACTATTAAAACATACATCTCCAGGTCAATGTATTAACACTTGCGGATTAAGATTCCATGTCATGCTTTGCGCTTAAGAAAAACATTAAACATGTACATTATAACACACAGTACAAATGATGTTAAAATAAGTCCATAATTATTTTATTTTTCTTTATATCTAAAAAAAGGTTACCAATTAGAATAGTAGTATATAATACAATTTGTGGTATATACACTTACAGACTGATGCATATCGCATTCATCTATGTCCCGGCAGATGCCATCCTTATCCGGGTGGTAACCAGGATCACAGATACATTTGTAGCCGGGCTCCAAGTTTTCGCAAGTCCCATGGGGACAGATTCCCGGGATCATGGTACATTCATTGATATCTGTGCCAGCGTTGTCCTTGCTGGCTCCCTCGGGGCAGAGTATTTCATAGTCTTTGCTGCCGTGTGGCGGGCAGGCTTTGCAGGATACACCCCATCCAAGATGGAGACCTACGAAATTATTTCAATTAATTAACCCACAAAAAAAACTAGCTGACCTGGAAAACATACTTTTGCCATATGAAGAATTTCGACCAAATTTGTTTACCATTAAAACGATTTATTTAAGCTTATCATATATTATATAATGCAAACATCTTAGATTATTTAAGGAAGAGTCATCCTTTAGTACATATTTTATGGATATCTTGTACCGTTTCGCAGCGCACGCAACAGAAATCCTAAAATATTGATAATTTTCCCCGTTTTTTTTCACATTTCACACTGTTTCTACGTTACTATTGAGAACAGCTTGATGTTTTATAGCCTTAAGCCATCCTCGATAAATGTTCCAATCAACACAAAGATAATTTTTCAATTCAAAGATTCGAATCAGTATTTTCTGAGGTTAGCGCATTTAAATAAACAAACTCTTTAGCTTTATATATTACAAATAAGTCAATTATTGAATCCTTACCTTTACTGGCACTGCAGCAACATTGTGATCGTGTCACCGGCGTGGTTCCAGGACCAGAACACTGACCATCTTCGTATTTCTCATAGCAAAGGTCCTGGACTTCATCTGAAATCATATACCAATTCGACGTGAATGAGAGATACACGTATATTAGCTTGAAAATACTTTAGACGCTTCTTTACAAGGCGAGAATTACAAAAATACACGAAAAAGTTTCGAGAAACTATAACTCGAATAGGTAAATAAAACAAATGGACCGCATAATAAACAAAACTTAAAGAGTTTTCAATTTAATTCCTTCACAGTTTTGTTTTTATCGTGTACTCTATAATATTTCCAAAGCCTTGTTGATTAACAACGATTTAGAACTTTAAACACTAAGAAAATTACATACAATATCTCCAGCGCTGACTAAACTACACATTTGTTACCTAAACAAGTCCGTCCATCATTGCTGAGTGTGAACCCAGAAAGACATTCGCAGCGGAAGGAGCCAGGTGTGTTGTGACATTTGCCGTTACGGCAGATCCGCAACTCGGAGCACTCGTCGACGTCCACGCAAGCCGCGCGATCTGGAGTAGGTCTGTATCCCGCTTCACAAACGCACTGGAAGGAACCTTCGCCGTTCACGCAACGGCCACCCTGAAAACAAAACAGATCATGTATTGATTTTAAATTGTTTTTTCTATATGTTAAACAAAATTGCAAACGCATGAAACAAAATGATATATCCATCAAAACAATTTATATGGCAGAAGATTTAATAAAATGTTTATTCAAAAAGAAAAAAGAACATTTCCAAAGTATTCTTGAGAATTCTGATAAATACGTGTTTTGACACGGTGGCTTAATGAGGTTTGAATCCCGCCTGTGTCAACGACGTAATTTAAAGTATTAAAGTAGCATTTAGGAAATTAAAAATCTATAAGACAAAAAAGTACGAGACGGACGGAACGAGACATAATCTCGTACAATGTAATTTCAACCTTAACGTTACCGAGTAGGGTCCAATATCCTACTGCTACGCAGCTTAAAAATTATTGAATCATGATAGGGTTTTCGAAAATATTTAGGAATTTTAACAAATTCGAAGCGTTCTTATTTTATTCTCACCTGGCACAAGCTCCTGTCAGAGCATTCATCTATGTCTGCACAATATCCAGCGGCAGATTTGGCAAATCCAGGTTCACAGAGGCACTCGTAACCACCGGGAGTGTTCCGGCATCTTCCCCTTCGACAGACTCGCGGATTGTCCGCACACTCATCCACGTCACGACAAGCGTGACCCGTTTCTGTAGACTCGTACCCCGGGTTACACGAGCACTCGTAACTATGAGAAAACACTAATATAATATAATAATAAAACACTTTCGACAGTTTAAAACGCGAAATATATTAATTTCGTTAACTTATTGAGCCCGTGGGCACGGTTGCTGCAAAACAATTAAAGATAAGTTCATTAGCGTATTTCGCATTTTAAACTGTTAAAAGTATTATATTTAAAAGTCTACACCTACAATCTATAATAATCTTTCTCCACAGTGGTATTTATATATAAGCAAGGAAAGGTATGAATTACCTTCCTCCTAATCCACATACACAGGAGTTTTACCATTCAGATATTTTAATAAACCCTTATTAAAGAAACATGAACATTATTTTCACACATATATTTATTATAAACTCAACTCACCCGCCATCCATATTCGTACAAACACCATTTGTACACATACCACCGTTGGTCATTTCACACTCATTTTTATCACTGCATCGCAATCCGTTTTCAACAGGATCAAAACCAGGTGGGCATCTGTACAAACAAAATAAAAATCACTCTTATGATCCTTCGAGCCGGATCTAATTTTGTTTTAGATTCCTACCTGCATGTGAAACTACCAGGCGTATTGGTACAAGTACCGCCTTTGCAATACTCTAGCGCGCACTCGTCGATATCTATGCATGTTGGGTTTCCATCTTGAAGCGTGCTTTCAGCGCCTTCCCAACATGAGCACGAATACCTATTTAAAATTTTAACGTTATTTATAACCGTGACACAGTTAAGTTTTAATCAGAAAGGATGAGTAGTCTAATTAAAATGTGATTCAGGAGTGTACCATATAAAAATTATAACTAACCCAACATCCTTGTCAATACAGTTTCCGAGGCCACAAATTCCATTTCTCAACATGCATTCGTTGATCTTAGCGATCGGGTGTGGTATGTCCCCTCCATCACCGAAACCTCCACCGGTAGTGTCGTTCCGACGCCAGTCGGGAGGTACGATTCCTCCTCCACACAAATGTGTCCATTCCACTAAAATTAAAAAAAAAGAAACACTTAATTTACCTTACGTTTTAATTATTAAAGTTGGAATTGAGTATGAATACCAATATTAAACTTTTAACAAGAAGTATTTCTATTATCAAAGGTAGGCTTACTTGCTCCGCGTGGTGGACAAGGCGCACACAGATCGCCCCAGGCGCGACCCATATTGTACCCACAGCAGCAGTCTCGATTAGAAAGTGACATCGGTAGCCGATCTCCACATTCTCCCGTCTCACTCAGATATGTGTAACAATTCCCCACGCGGCCATCTTCATGAAAAAAATAATTATTAAATTAACAACGAATGACAAACGCTACAAGATTTGACCACAAATACTTACCAATACAAAATTTCTTATCGGGACTCGGGATGAAATGGGGATTACATAGACAATAGTAATCGCCCTCTGTATTGACACATTTTCCATTCTGCAAGAAAATAAAAAATATTTAGTGATATGACGTGATCATTGGTTAAATGGTAGCAAAATGTGGCTGAAAATCAATGCGCATTTGATACCCAACAGGTCTAACATGATTCTAAAATTATTGTTAAATGTTTCGAAATCACGAATATATTAATTATTTTGTTTTTATTTTATATATTTATAATTAATAGATATTAAACTGGCAGGAACATCGAAATTCCGCCCAGGTCTCATAAGAAAAAAGCCGTGAAGTAGCATCGTCTTTCGCCACCGAAAGTGTGCATATCCAAAACCAAAATAGGTCGACACGGTATCTTCCTTAAGTGGTATATGGCTAGAATATTATACTTTCCATCAAGTGAATTCCATGTTTGTGTATCAACTATCTCTCTGTCATAAATAATATGTTGGACGTTCAACGAAACGAAACATTAAAAAACATAACATTGTCTCTTTCTGATAATGTTTTGTTAATTTTAGGGGTTAAAGTATTCGACGAACTTAGTGAAGAATTATGAATAGTAAGATAGTAATAGTAACTCACTGGACATATATCTGGATCTTCACACTCGTCGATGTCTTCGCAGTTGTTTGTGACTCGGTGTCTTCGTTGTCCGGGGGGACATTCGCATGAAAACGAACCGATCGAGTTAACGCACTTGCCTCCTTCGCACAGACCAGGTACTGCCGCACACTCGTCAATATCCTGGTGATTTTGAATTATTTATGTATCTAATATACTTTTCAAAAACAATGAACTAAACATTGGAATTTAACTAACTTGACACTCTTTCGTAGCGAGGTTGCGAAGGTGACCCGCGGGACAGTCGAGATCCCCGCAGCGCTCGCAAGGGTGTCCCCAGGCCACGCCCACTGTTGCACAGCACAGCTGTTTCGTACACACCACGCCCTCTAGCGCACCCGTACATAATGCTCCTCGGGTGTCCGTGTAACATGGTCCTGGAAAAGATTACAAATTATTTTTCTATATATTAACGGGCTTTTATTTAAAAAAAAACTATAAATGAATTGATACTAGTGCGACTTTAACCGGCATCCACAGCGCTCCGTGCCCAATCCAAAGCGCCCTTGGTGTAAAAATTCGCAATGTAAATAGATTTTTAATGTATATAATGCCGTTATGTTATAGATATTAAAGTTTTTCAAAGGACTTATTTTCTTTTATGACCTTAAAATGTCGGCGACTTTTCTAACCAGGTGTAGGTGTTGGTTCCTAAATATTTATTTATATTTTTCTTGATATGTGATAAATTTTGTGCGGAAATTCTGGATTTCAAATAGACAGATATTCATTGATTTTTAATCGCGTTTCGATTTTAATTGGTTGATTTCTGAATATGTCGAACAAGGGTGTAGGTCTTAACGTAACCTATAAACCGCGCTTAAAATAACGAACCCCTATACAGATTCCTGGCAACACCCTTGATGAGCAGCATTTGGATGTGTAATATGGATAGATTATATCACCTTCCAGCAGGTGAACTCCTCGCTTGTCTATCCTACTCTGTCATTACAATATTGATAGCTTTTTTAAAGGCGATTATACGTATCGAACATCCGGGCTGATACACAAACAAAATTAAACGCCAAATCCAATAAAATATTTTAAATCTATTTTGGTACGTCCAATGCGTCACTAAAGACGGATGACATCATAACGTTTGATCGCGTAACTGCACATCGAAGTCAGTGTGCCTGTGTGTCAAGGACGAATGTGCGAAATTTAAGAGGGCAGTTATCATGTAAATTAATGATAATGGGGAGGTGATAATTTTTACCAAAATCTAGACTTGAGCTTTATTAGGATAATTACAATAAACAATGGCAGTCTTTATCGGTTGAATCCTGACACGTTACAATAATATATACATATTTTATTACGACAGAGGAGGACATATAAGCAATTCATTTGGTCTAAGGACAAATACCTAACATAACATCTCAACAAGATGTGCTACGATCTATTTCGGCTGAAACCGAAACACAATTTATTTTACGCCATCTTCACCTGTGGGTGGTGGTTCGGGACCCAGAAAAATATCGATAATCCTACCACCCTCTTTATAAGTAGATATTCATACGAAGTCCAACATGTTTCAGAAAAATTACAAATTGATTAAAAAGAAATTGGATCCGGAGAGATCCCTTCATTAGCCAATACATTGTTACTACCAACAGACTTTACTATTACTATTTTTTGTCAATTAGGCAGCTTAATTACTAATAGATGTTAAAGGATTATAAAAGCTTCTTACCTGTTCGTCGATCAATTTCGCATCGCGTTCCAGAAAGACCGTGGAAACACACGCAACGATCCGGTGCTATACACCGTCCTCCGTGCAAGCAAGGTTCTCGGCATATTGCTAAAATTTATTTTACATTTAGTAAGAGTTATATAGATCAAGTGTAGCTTTATATGTCCCAAAAATAAGCTTACGTTCAGTACAAAATTCCCCGGACCAGCCGGGTGCGCAAGCGCAGGTCCCGTTAGTACATGTTCCTCCATTCATGCAAATACGACGGCAGCCGCCTCTGGGCCGAGCTGAAAACAATATCGTCACATCACAACGAGCTTATGAACTCCTTAGCAATACTAGCTACATTACGACTTTCAAACAGATATATTTAATAAAGAAATAAAAGGTAACACAGAATTGAATATAGTATAGATATATTTATAAGTTGAGTATGATCATACCTACTGTCACACAATTGTATATTGTGATACTGTTAAAATTAAAATATGGTATAAACATATTTTTTTTTATCTTAATTTTTTATAAAGAAATAAGTATAATTTATTTCTAAGTAGTAAGATAACTAAGCGTAAAGAAACTACTGATATTATTATTCTTAGTAACTCACGTGGATAAGAGAAGAGCGCTCCACCTGGAATACATGAAGGTGCCTCTAAGCCCCCCGCACAGCGGCACATATTTGGAGCGATACATGCCCCCGGTGAACCACAATCCGGTCGACATAAAGCTGAAAAAAGCATAAGATATTTTTTTCGTGTTCATGGAATAAATCCTGTGGTGTTTATAATTAATAAGATTAAAAAAATAAACATTTATAAACCATAAACAGAATTTAAAACTTCAAAAATAATTTTTCTATAGCCAATTCTTAGCTAGCTGTTATATATGTTATTTATTTAATTATTAGGTGCGTTACATAACTCATACTTACGAACTACACAAAGTAAAGAGTTGGGCCTAGACGTCCATCCGGGACAGCAATGCGTGCTGTTGCGGCTTCGGCATACATGTGGACTGTGAACAAATCAATTTTACATTCATCCATTTGTTGTATAAATTAAATGTAGTAAATATCAATAATACACGTTGTATTAGAACTTAGGAAAAAACCAAGTGCTCTTGGGTTTTCAGGCATGCACACCTCCCATGCCCAACGGATTGCGCAACGACCGGTTCTAAAAATAAGTAATACGTTTGGCGTTTTCAACCGTTAATGTGGTTTATTAAAATTTATAGTACTAGACGCTGATTCGTGATCTGCACAGAATTCGGATTTTCCCACCACCCATTTAGCATCCAGATTTCCAGACAACAGTGTGTCAGAAAAATTATAGATTGATTAGACGCATGTTGGATCTGGTAGATTATGACACGTTGATTATTAGCGAACGAATCCGTCAATATGTTATAGTCCCGAGATTATATCTTAATTAAGGCAATATAACTCGAGTTCTAAGCACACTTTAGGCGGAACGGCGACCACTAATCAGCGCTGCGAATGTTCTAATTAAGTCAGGATGAGGGTAAGTGGCGCGTTGCTAATACGGCAGGCCAGGCCGGCACTGTGGGCAGTGAAGCTGACCGCACGTGGCTAACTGTCGCAAACTATCACCGGCTTTGACTACTAGTGGACAAGTAGAAGCCAATGTCACCTTGAAAGTATTGGGTTTTAATGAGCCCCTTTGAAGTACAAATGTGGGTACAGTAAAATTAATATATATCTAAAAGATGGTCCAGAACCGCTATCCTTGGAATTAAACATTATAAAACAAAATAACTTTTATGAATATTTTTGTAAGTAAAAAAGTATGCGAGTAGTGTACATTGAAATAAAACACTTTTAACAATTTAAAACCGCGAAATATATTGGTTAACTTATTTTAACTACGACCCGACATTTCGCATGCCTTGCAGTAGCCGTTGTCACAGAGGGACTTAAAATACATTGTAAATAAGTTAACTAATATATTAAATTGTTATATATAATGTAATAGTTCCAAGTAAAATGAACATTGCGCCCCAAGGTTTAAAGAAATGTTTTCTCATCTAATTTACGTCACTGCGTCAAATGCATCGCAAAGGTCATTTGACCTAAAAATCGTAAACAAGTGTGAAAATACTAATGATCAGTACAGCCTTGTAAGTGTCGGTCCCACGTCCATATCAAAAGCGCATCATTTGCTATGCCTGTTGCGGTTTAACTAATTGCATTTGGGTCAGAGGGTCACACATCCTATTATTATAAATGCTCGCTAATTATTTAATGATTACGAAGCTCATAGACATTGGAATCTTTTGTATATACGAACTGGAAACATGACTAAACTATGCCTTCAGTATTTTAGTCAAACATTTACCAAACCTTCAGGTTATAAGGTAACTTATATATTACGCGGTTTAACCCTTAAAAGTCTACACAGACAGCACGTATGTTTAATATATTCATAATAAGGTTAAGACCGAGGAAAGTAGGTACCCGAAATTTCAAAAAAAATGAAATTACTACATTTCTCACATATAGAATCTACACTATATGTAAGAAAAAATATTGCTCTTATAAGTTTCGTGAACATTTAAAACCAATTCATACAATTATATGAATTGAAATTAAAAAATATATATAATAGAAGACTACTGAATCGCGAAGTTAATGTGGCAAAATATTATAGTTCTAATTTTCAGAAAAATAAAATCATCGTCACAAGAATTCAAATCCTAAAATCTTAACTTGAACAAAAGCTTTTAACTAAAGTGATAAATCCTTAATCCGTAAAACTGAAACGAATCCTGTAGAATAGTGAAACGTATATTTGTCTGGGAAACCCTGCAACGGTGTGGTAAGAATGGTTTTACACTAATTATAATATTCTTGAAGAGACTTGAATGAGTCAACAGTAAGCGCGACGCTTACAAGATTAACGAAAATAATTGCTGAACTAGTTTCTTTGCGAAATTATCCACTTAGTGAGTAATATCGGAAAATATTAAATTCGCTAGTTAGGTTTTATATTACAAGATTGATGGACCACGAATTTTCTGATTTGGCCTAAGTAATTTTATATAATTTGCGAAAACTTTGATATTTTTCACATGCACATAAAGGCACTATATAAGTTAAATCGAAAATAAATTGAAATTATTTATTTACTTACATGTAAAATTATGATATACTATAAACAAAATTATATAAATTTAAAAATCGAAAATATACGGAACGCTGACGATGCCGGTTCAAGGCCTGCCCGAGTCGAAAATATTTTCGATTTTTAAATTTATATAATTTTGTTTATAGTATATCATAATTTTACATGTAAGTATATAAATAATTCATCATTTTAGAATCTTCTAATGATTCTTCTGTATAGATACATGTAGATACATTTAACAAAAAAACTTTAACAGTTTAAAACACGTAGGTCTCCCCGTAATCGTTTTAAACCGTTGAAGTCGTTTATTTAACTGTATACTACTCGCGTAAAGTCCAGACAGATACATTAAATCTCAGCATTGTCCTGGATTCGAATCGCGGGAAAACTAATTGTTTCAGCAGAGCATGGACATATCACTAACTGTTAAAAAATCGATGCGTAAAAAATATTCCGCCCCATGCCCCTTTTAAGGAAAATGGGGTTTCTTTGACACTCGCTCAAACCTAGGTTCTGCGTTTTAAAGCCTGGGCCGTAGCTAGACTGCTAGTGCATTCCGTGCGAAAGCACGTAAACGAGCAGTGATTCCATCTCGAGCAGGTCAATATGCCGACAATCGCTTAACTAAATATGTACGGCGAATACAAAGGGCTTTATGGTGACTGCGTTTTTTTATCAAAGTGGTACTTTATATTCAAAAACTTAAATGCCTTAGGTGGAACTCGAATATAGACCAAATAGAGTGAAAATTAAAACAATTTCTTCGATTTTTTTTTAACAAATTCATTATTGTCAAAGACTTTTTCTTTTTTTTGTGCTTTTATAACAGGCTTATTTAGCTTAGTTTTCCTAATTATTGTAGGAAATAAAGGACTCTATGTAAAACTTATTTATAAGAGAGGACAGACAAGCAAGTGTTGCACTTGAGGTGTAATATCTCATCTTTACAACATCTAAGCAAGACGCGCTGACGACCTGAGCTTTGAACATTTGGAAATCCACAGACTGAAACCAAAATACTTTTTAACTTCATGACTTTTTCATGGGTGGTTCGTGAATCAGGACTAAATTTCGATTTAAGATCCAGGTTTTCATCTATTAACCTAGTAAAAAAGATAATTATTATATAAAAAAAGAAAAAAGTGACAGCCCTAGATGTAGTAGCGATTTAAGCTCACATTGCGTACATTCCAACACTTACTGAGTGAGTCATGATTTGTTCCGTGGACTCCGGCAGATGACAACTTTTGTTTTTGCCCACCCCAGTAAATGGAGAGCAATTTAAGCCTAGGAAATCTCGATCAATTTTCATACAATTATTAAATGTATGTATGCAGTTAGGAATTACAGTCGTATAATTCTAATAATTCATATAAGGCTAATTTTCTTTTTACACTTCGGTCTAGTGGTTATTACCACAGAGGTCCTCCAAATCCATAAGGTCCCGAGATAGATCCTAGTTTGGGAGAAACTTTTGGATTCGTCGGTTTACTTTCTGATAATACTAGCTGTGTCAGCGACTGAGAATAGTTATTTTGGGCATCAAAATTAGTTCTTGCAAACCTCCTCTTCATCATCATAAATGTAAACTGTAACCCACGACGTCAATCTTTAGAGATAGACTATGGTGTCGCAGAGAGTTTTTTAGATCATTTAAAGAGGTTTCATTCTTTTTGGTATACCTAGCGAGTTCAATAATTGTTGCCGTTTTGTTTTTTTTTACATTTTCCGCTGTTTCTGCTCCTCTATTAGTCACAGTGTGATATTATAAAGCCTTCCTCGATAAATGCTCTAACCAACACAAAAAACAATTTTTCATTCGAACCAGGAATTCCTGAGATTAGCGCGTTCAAGCAAACAAACAAACTCTTCAGTTTTAGATATGAGTAAAGATAACATTATTGTTAAAACGAAAATTAGTTTCAAATCGACTCGAACGCATGCAGCTTGTACACGCTGAAGACAAGTCATTACAGAACACAGAACAGGCAAAAACAAAACAACGCAATTGATAGCAATACGTTACAATCAAGCTGTGTTCGGAACAAGCCTTTGATCCATTACATCTTATTATTCATCTAATAACTATCAATTACACTGAAGAATGGAGAATCTTCGCGCACATAGACTGACCTATATTTACGAGTAGTATTCCTTACTCGGGGAGAAGTCCCCGGAAACTTCCTTACCTAGTAAAACACATAGACTTAAGACTACTTAGTGCGTTTATTAATGTAGTTATTTCTTCTGTGTTTGTGTTATTAATCTTTTTTATGCTCTAAAATGATTTCAAATCTATACTAATATTATAACTGAAGAGTTTAGTTTGTTAGTGTGTTTGAACGCGCTAATCTCAGGAACTATGGGTTCGAATCGAACAAACATTTTTGTGTTTCTTGGAGAATTTATCAGCCAAATAGCGTATGAACAATAGGAATGAATAAACAGAGGGAAATTTGAAAAAAATTTTCAACTTCGAAGGCTTTTGATGTGTGCGCTGCGAAAACGATTTATGAAAGATTTTTTTTAATGTCTTAAAAAATGTCCGCGACAGAATATCTATCTTTTTAGATTGATCATAGCACAAGAAGGATGCGACGGAACGGGGACGATATCGTGGGTGACCATTATTTATATATAGAAGGGTTGTTTCTAAAAATAAATAACATTACGATACCTAAAATAATTATGCCACGCGGACGAAATACGCGGGCACAGCTAGAATAAAATAAAAAATATTATAAATTACCCGACGAATTGAGTAGGCGATCTGTCTGCAAGTGTCCGTGCGCCGCGCTGCCAGTGTCGCGGCCGTGGCGTGTTCTGTAGTCGTGGATCTGCTGCTGCTGCACAAACGAGCAGCGCAAGAGCCACCAGCCGCATCCTCATTGTGACACCATCACCCTGCAACCAAAACTATCTTCTTAGTCGTCATTGAAAATCGGAACTTTAATTAATTAAACTAAATAAGAAAATTTTTAACATTGTGTAAACTTATAATTTATGTAACCCATACTATCAATGATTACTGTAAACTCCATCACAATTGCCTGGAAGAAATCGCTTTTAGCAAAACGCGCCGTTTCTCACTACTTAATTTATAAATAATATATGTAATTTCATCTATTTAAATCTTATTTTTTTGTGATGTTTTTGTGCTACCAGTTAAATATTGTTTGTTTATTTAATTTTCAACAGTGGTTTATAGTTAGAAACGATAACTGAATAATATAATAATTATTTCTGAAAGTTTTCAAGCGGAAATATAGACTCATCCTTATAATAGAATATCAACTATATTTCCTGAACAATGCCTAAAATAGTCTAACTACGATATACCTTCAACTTGTAAAGGGATTCCACTAAATTAATCTAATCGCTAACAAAGTCAACAGAGCGCTTTAATTATAGTCAAGCCATAAATTCGTGTGGCCATTACGCCACTTAAGAGCCCAAAACACGGAGTAACCTAGCCGAGGGAGATTCGTGAAACAAAACAATAGTATGAAACTACGAATGATGACAGATGTCAGAGGGGGGCAGGGGTGGATCCGTGCCGAAATGATAACGACGGCCGACGACCCGGGCCAATACGAGACAATACGGATTCTATATTTAGTATACAACTTTAACTGCCTTCCATCTCCATCAAGACTTACTTTTCCCCATAAGGACTTTCATGTACTAACAACTATATACTTTAACATTCGTGACAGTAATAGGCAAATATAAAATAATCTCTACTAGTGTCCCTTTGTCAAAATTGTATTCTATGTTCAGACTGATATCTCTAAAATTATTAAAAAATATATCGTATATAAACTATAATTTTAAACTGCTCCTACTTGACAGCTGGAGATGCAAAAAATACAAGAGTTAATAATAAGAAAGGTATTTCGGTCTTTACGTATTTGATCTTTTTATTTAGTAAACAAACTCATTTTTACGACAAATCTTTAGCCATCTGAGTCCTAAACCATGGCGCGTACGTTGTTGAGAAAGAAAGCATAATATAAGTCGACCTTTTGTCATGCTTTGTAATAGAAGTATACTAATAAATAAAACACTTTAAACGGCTTAAAAAGCGATATAAATGAATTAACTAATTTTTTATTTAACTACAGCCCGACATTTTAAAAGCTTTGCCGCAGCCATGGTTAAGAAGGACAGTCTCCTGTGACCACGGCCTAAAATTCGCGTTTAAAACAGTTAAAAACTGTTTTATTTACATATTTACTAAACTATTGATAGATCTCAATTAAGAATACTAATTTTAGTAGTAGAGCGTTGCGTCCTTTCTCTACTGATTACAGTGTAACGATTAGCTATTCGATCTCATTCCCGTTTGACAATTCATTATATGAAGCTGTTAAAGCAAGGTCGCTCTAGTAAGAATGAGATGTAACAAGAACAACGATAGTAAAGAACGCGCTGTGGGCGGTCTGACTCAGGCCAAGCAATCACTGGGCCCGCTCTCCTGACACGCGTGTTAACTGATTTTATATCAATAACCGTTCTCCTAACTTGCTACAAAAAAAACATGGAAAAGTAACTATACGAACGAAAAGACAAGCTTATTAGGGCAAGAAATTTCAATTTCATTTTAAATAATAACAAAACACTAATTTAAATAAATAGTCTGTAGTTTACGCGAGTAGTACCCATTTAAGTAAAACACTTTAACGGTTTAAAACGCGAAATATATTAGTCAAATTTATTTACAAATAGGTACCTACTGGGCCACTACTTGGGAAGAAAGGGGTCTTGCGTTGGAACAAGTTGCAGCGGTTAAATTCGACACTAAGAATATAAACATTCACTTGTTATTTTTTTGTCATATTTATTGTTAACGCGCTTACATAGGAACCTGAACTGGCCGGCAAAAAATATTTATACAAAAATACATAAATAAGTAATAAGGAATTTTATCACTTTTGTTTAAGAAGAATTGATTGATTGAAATTGGATAGCTTGATAGCTATGCAATGTACTAACTTGTTTGGTAAGAATAAAAGTGATATTTCACTGTCAAATATAAGAAAAAAACTTTCTTAATCTACTCCTTTGGCAAGTCAATTAACAGTCTTTTGAATTTACATTTAAAGAAGCTTATTTTTAGTTATTTTTTGGTATTACTTAACATGTTTTTTTTCTCAGTCCATCAAATTATTTATATTGGATAATTTTTTAAGTATTTTTAAAGCATATTTATATTTACTAGCAAATAAAAAACACTATCACATACACAAAAAATATATTTTAGGAGTTAAAAATATTTTACAGGCACAACAAAAGCTTAAATATTTTGTGATTTTGATTTGATTGTGTGATACCGTTAGCTTCATAAAAAAGTCAGGAATCGAGTGGCGAAGAGAGAGTTCGTTATGATGTATTCATTGAAGGACTCGTGTTTACTTTAGTACGGTGCGAAGCGAACGCTTCCATACGAGAAGAGGATAAACAAAAAAAAAGAAATCCTTGACCGTCCACCATTTGAGAAATTCATCGTATAATTAACTTCTTGATTCCGCAGGAAATCAAACGACTTCAAATATAAACACTGTCTATAGTTTACGCGAGTAGTACACATTTAAATAAAACATTTTTTAACTGTTTTAAACGCGATATATTAGTAAACTTATTTTCAAATGATTTTTAACTTCGGCCCGACGTTTCGGATGCTTTGCAGCAGCCGTGGTCACGGGGAGACATTTGTGTTTGACTAATATATCGCGTTTTAAACCGTTAAAGTTTTTATTTAGACAGTATTTATATTTAAAGTCGTAATAAATATTAGTTAACTTATTAAACTACTTAAATATCTACTCACCATGTGTATGAAGGTCAATTCTTTTAGCTTTTTTTGACAGAATAAGAAAATAACATCTGAAAAAGATGCGCCGTCGACTTATTTTGGTATCGTAGATTCAGAAATAGACAAACTAAGGAGTGAAAACGTGTTTAGTTAAATTTATAACAACCAATTTAATATCAAAGCCATATGTTTCCATCAAACTATAAATACATTTTTACAAACATGTTAAACCCGGTAGAACTCGAACCGACGACCCATTTGTTATCCACTGCTGCCAATAAACTAACGAGCCGGCACATATATTACACAATTCCACGTCAGCTAAATACGTGTATTAGTGTTACATAAAATTGCCCCATACATACATTCGCGCCACACTCCATCGTACCGGATAAAAATAGTTCGCCGAGCAAAATAATATTAATAAAAACGATAAAACGACAATAAAGTATTGATAACGTTGACAATGTCTCGTAACACTGACCTTAGATAAAATTTACGTACTCTTCTTAACGTTTCTACTTTAGATGTAGAGCTTCGACAAAGCTGGGGAACTTATCGACGCCAATAATTGAAATTGATTGGGTGCTTTAAATTTGTAGCAGGTTTAGCTTTAACTGTGAAACCTGACTGTTCTCCAACATGTTTCAGAAAAATAAAAAAAATATTAGAAAAACGTTGGGCCTGGTAACTATTTGATATTTCGTAACAATTACGAATAAGAAGTTACAAGAAAATAAACAAAAAAATAGACTATAGGTAACAAAACATATTTTTTAGCCAAGATGGAGAATCTCTTCCACCTCGTCCATCAATGAACAGACCATCTTTCAACATTAGAGTACATAGAGTAGTTATATCGTGATAATATCCAATAATTACCTCATTGGAACCCAGACTCATTATAGGAATTATGGCATTACTTCGAACAATTAGGAAGAAGAATTATTGACCAGTGATGGGATATTTTGGGAACGATACGGCCTCGTTCCTGGCAAGTGCTCTCCAGTGCAGATCACCAGTTCCCAGATTCGAAGACCAGGTCGGATCGAAATTTGAAGAAAACTTCTATAAGTATAGAAATATCAAGAATCATCACGCCGGAGCCTCATAGAGCGGTCCTTAACTTACATCAAAGCATGAAGCAGTGTGGTGGGACTAAGCTCTTAAACTTTCTCTCTTATAGGAGAGGAGACATTGCCCAGCTGTGGGATATTGATAGGAAACGAGAAGCAAGAGATTTTTAAGATGTCAAAGTATAGCAGATACCTCAAATATTTTTATAAATTGTACCAGAATACCCTTGCCGTATCTATGTCTTTAAAGCTGGGTACTGACTCAATTCTGGCAGTACCTTATACATCCATACGTTCGTAAAGACTGAAGACTACACTGCACCGCGATCACTTGGTCTAATCCAAATATAGGCTAACTACAACGAATACGCACGAATTCAATAGGTACATCTTAACTAGATCGCATCCAGCACCTACGCACTTGTTGCATACGTACTCTATGCAGCCTAAGGAAATAATTATAGTAGCTTCCCTTTATACTGATGCCATTAAAAAGTTACCACATATGAAAATATTTTTCATATGTGAATCACAGCACAGCCGTGATCAAGGAGTAGTTAAAATAATTTCCAAATAAGTTTAACTAATATATATTGCGTTTTAAACAAAAAAAGTGTTTTATTAAAATTAAATTACTACGTTTCAACCAAATTCCACTGATGGGTGTGCTCTCTGACACTAGGGAAACAGGGGGGTTTGACGACTGCTGCCAACTTGGTGACAATCGGAACCGGCATAGCGTACTTTCCAAAGTCCCAGAGTGAGGACATACTCTTTCAAAAACTTTGCTCGACCCAGGATTAAAAATAAGGAACCAGGATGTTCTGATCAAGAGTCGAATGCCCTATCCACCAGACCAACAAGGCAATGTTTAAACTAATTAGCGAATGATGATTACGGTCATACGGCTTGATTGATTGATTGGATACAAATGTAGTTACATTTAACTTAGTGCTACATTTTTCTTACCTAAAGAATAAAATAAAATAATATTCTATATTGTATTATCGGAA